TAATATCCCTTCCACCCTCTTCCAGAAACAGGGAAGAGAGGTAACTGTGGCCAACCTCTTCATTTATTTCATGGTCTTGAACTCAATGACAGATTTAGGGATATGTTACCCACACCAGGGAAATATGACTCAGTTCCTGGACTTTTGTTGGAATTATTGAGAAAGAGAGGCTCTCTTTTTACTAAAACTGGTAAGTTGAAAAGCTGGAATCATATCATTCTGGATCTGATTGGTGCCAACTCACAATACCTGACAACGGGAAGGCCGAAGATAGCAGAGCAGAAGGCTGCAGCTAGACTGAATCTTCATGACATTGTTTGGAGACTTATATCCAAATATGCCTGAAGTCAAGTCTTTCACACTTATCAGTATTTTAGCCAGTAGCGGACCCCTTTAACTTAAGTCTCTTCATCAGCATGTATGCTATTTACAAATGAGCCTAACAATAAAGTCTGATTATACATTAAAAATCTAAAACATTTATAGGCATGACCTCAGGTGAAAACCACAAATAAAGTAATTTCAGAGCTTCATTTTCTGGAGTTTCTCTTAAACACAAATAAAATAAAAATTGACAGGAAGTTCTGACTAGAACGAAGGCCTGATCACTGACATCCTTTTACAGCAAAAGTATACATAATCAGACCATGGCAAATATATATATGGATATATGCGCATATATATACATATATATATACTGAATGGAGAGTCCCGAGGAATAGTATAGTGGATCAGTGCACCTTCCTAGTAGATATATAGTCACCAGTTCAAATCCCTAGGGTCACTGCATGAGCCGAGCACAGTCTGGTATCTCTTCACATACTCTCTGAACCTCATAGCTCTGCTGCCTGAAAACTGCAAATGATTTCCAGCCACACCACAGCCAGGTGTATGAGCACCAGGTGCATGTGTTCCCCCCAATTCCAGTAAGCACTGCAGGTAAAAGCAATGCATGAGCATCATAGCCAGGAAATGCAACCTCTGGCAAGCATCTCAGTCATAACTTTTGAGACTATCAAGAGCGAAAGCCTTGGTGAACATTTGTGCAAATACCACACAAGAGTAGTGCAAGCCTCCTGGGAGCACCTAAACTCAGAGTTCTGGCACAGCCTGATGTCTGACCCCTGTGAGCACCACAGCTTACCTGTGTGAGCACCTCAGTCAGATTTGTATGCAACCTCCAGTCATCACAAGATCAAGAACAACAAAGGGAAGGAGGGAGAGGTTATAAAAAAAATTAGAAACTGAGGGGCCAAAGTGAGTACTGCAGGTAAAGCATTTGCCTCTTACACAGACACTCTGGTTCTATCCCTGGTATCTCGTATGGTTCTCTGAGCCCCAGCAGGTGTGATCTTTGAGAACTGAACCACAAGTAAGCCCTGAGCACTGCCAGGTGTGGCCCGTAAACAAAACATAACAAAACAACCAAAAATTAGAACATGAATAATAAAATGACTTGTCAAATAAAGAATTTAGCAGCGATATTTAGAAACAGGTCCATCCAAAATAATGCTTGCCACATGGGGTCTGTTGCCTATCTCTGTAGAGCACAGGACTGAAATTTCTGCAGAAATAGTACCTATAGACATTTGGAGAAAGTACAGAAGTAAAAGTTCAAGGGTGCCAAGATACATTTTCCCATGGGCATCTCATACAAACCATTCTAGGTAATTATGAGGCTGTAACCTCTTTTCTCTGCCAGATTAAGAAATGTGACCTAATTCTTTCCAACTCCCAAACAGAATGGACAGTCCTTGACCTTAATGGTACATGTTACACACATTTCCAATGCTGTCCTTATGCTCACTCCCACCTCCAGTACTCTTTGTTCAAGCTATCAACTAAACTCTGCTGCTGTCCAGTTGATGAATAACAGTCACGTAGACAACTGTGTGAATGAGATGTAAACTAACTGGACTAATAAATCTCTTAGTTGTAAATGTTGATGACAACCCAAAGAAAATTAAAAACCTTAATTGACTTTTTGTCCTCATGTAATTGAGGCTGTTAAAGCTTGGAGTAAGAGATTTCTGGCAGCCTGAAAATAAGGCTGTATCCATAGTTGGAAGCCTGCCTCACAAGTGGGTGAGGAGAGGACAGCTGGAATAGAGAAGGGTTCACTAAGAAAATGATGGCTGGAGGAACCGGTCGGGATGGGAGATGTGTGCAGAAAGCAGATAAAGGACCAAACATGATAATCTCTCAGTGTCTGTATTACAAACCATAATGACTAAAAGTAGAGACAGAGTATGGGGAATACTGCCTACCATGGAGGCTGGGGGAGGGTAGGAAAGGTGTGGGTATACTGGGGATATCGGTGGTGGGGAATGTGCACTGGTGGAGGGATGGGTCTTTAATCATTGTGTGATTATAAATTGGACATGAAAGCTTGTAACTATATCTCATGGTGAATCAATACATTTTTTTTTAAAAAAAGAAGGCTGTAAGAATACAAGTTAAGAAAATAAATGTAGACGCAGATTTTTTCTTCTAGCAGAGATCTTAGCTTCAGAAAGGGTTTACTGAAGTTTAGGTAAGAAGATTCATGTAATTTGATATATCAGCCATATTCTCTGATAAGATTCCCATGGGGTCAGAAAGATAGTTCAGCTTCCCTTGCATGCAGCTGACCCAGGTTTGATTCCCAGCACCCCAGATGTTCCCTGAGCACTAGGAGTGAACCCTGAATAGAGCCAGGTGGCTCCAAAACAAACAAACAAACAAATAAAAAATGAATGTAATTATGCGGTCTTGGGCACTTTTGTGGTGGTCAGGTGAGGTAAACATCAAGACCATAAACGCCAACAACATTGTAAGTACATTACCTTAACTGTTATAAACTTTTAAAAAGAAACCTCAATGCCATTTTACAGATATGTCCAATTAAAAGCATTTTATAGGAAATACTTATAGATCGCACTGATTCCATTGATAAAGCCAGTTTGAATACCTCTTCATGTCAATCTATACTCTTTTCTTTATTAATGACCTTGAATATCTACAAGAGTTTATGTATCACTGGATGTTAACTTATTTTGGGGACCGCCTGTAAACCCTGATGTCCTTAGGACTTACTCCTGGCTCTGTGCTTAGGGATCGCTACTTGGAGATGCTTGGAGAACTATATACGGTGGTGTCAGGAATCAAATCAGGGTCAAACACAATCAAGATAAGTGCTTTACCCCTGTGAAATCTCTTGGGCCTCTGGCTATTTAACTTCTTAACTGTATAAAAAGATAATATTGCAGATTCACTCAGGAATATAATATTCATATTTGATATTTTTAAGAGGTTAACAAAACCAACAAATTTCAAGCCTTCTGTTTTAATGTAAAACATAACTATCCTTATAAAGATAAACAAGAATAACCCTTCAAGATTTTATAGTTGTTTCCTAAATTGTTTCCTATCTTTCATCTACTTGGACTTAGTTATCTCCTAAATCATATTGAATCCTATGGCATGTTCGGAAGTGTCTGGAAAGCCACTTCCATGTGCTTAGCCATTGTGAGTCTTGGGATCTTTGAAGAGTCTCTCTCACACAAGAAATCAACTAAGAAGTAGCTTAGTGTATCTATTAATACAATCTCTTGGTTAGGGTTGGTATGAATTCATTGTGTCAACGATATTCTAAAGGAATCATAGCACTGTAGCACTGTCCTCCCATTGTTCATCGATTTGCTCAAGTGGACACCAGTAACGTCTCCATTGTGAGACTTCTTGTTACTGTTTTTGGCATATTGAATATGTCACAGGGTGCTTGCCAGACTCTGCCACGTGGACAGGATACTCTCGGTAGGTTGCCGGGCTCTCCGAGAGGGATGGAGGAATTGAACTCGGGTCGGCCACGTGTAAGGCAAACACCCTACCCACAGTGCTATCACTCTGCTTTACATAATATTAATATCCACATATTCTGAAAGGAGAAGCCTGAAGTGCTGTCCCAGCTTCAATACATGGACACCAGGCACCTGGCATTCCATACGGTCCGTCAAGCATTGCCAAGAATTATTTCTGAGTGCAGAGCTCAGAGTATTCACTGGGCAAGGCAAGGTCCCAAAAGCAAAACAATTAAATAAATAAAATTGGGAAGCATGACTACAAGTCAACCCAAGTTTGATTATAGCATTTGAATGATCTTATCTTTTGAGTGATAGTCATGTTAATAATATTGAAAAAGAATTTTTAGCTCCTAGAAACTCATTCTTAGGAGTTGCCTTTTGTGCTTGCTCTATTTATTTTTTATTAATAGTGAAGAGATCTTTTGAGTGTTTCTACTTTGTAGCAAAGTGCTAGATCACAGGTATGAGAATTGCATAAGATAGAAATTGAAATGACAAAGAAAATATTCTTGGTAGCACAGATACATTATCCTGAATGAGAGTTTTTTGTTCACCAACTATACCCCAAAGAAAGAATAGTTAAGAAAAAGATTCAACTCAGACTTGGGTCCTTACAAAATGAAGAGCAAAATTATAGTACCATATAATTTTCACTGTCACTGTCACTGTCCTCCCGTTGTTCATTGATTTGCTTGATCAGGTCCAGTAACACTGTGAGACTTGTTACTGTGTTTGGCATATCAAATACGTCATGGGTAGCTTGTCAGGCTTTGACATGCGGGCAAGATATACTCAGTAGCTTACCGGGCTCTCCAAGAGGGGCAGAGGAATCGAATTCGGATCAGCCGTGTTGGCCTAATGCAAGGCAAACGCCCTACCCGCTGTGCTGTCTCTTCAGCCCATATAATTTTAATGTATATTAATCGTTGTTACTTGCCCTCTAATAGCAACAAAAGTTAGGCTTCTTGTAAAGCACCACTGCCTGTACTTTACACAGATTGTCTCTTCCTAATTTTCACAGAAATCCATGGGGCAAACACAGTACTGCCTTCTCAAGGAGACGGCTCTTGTCTAATGGACTTGGGTGCTGTCCACAATGATTTGCACAGAATGAAGTATAAAAGCCCCTTATAAAGAGAAGTGATGGGTTGCACTCACCTTGAAGTGATTCTATCATGATTCTGTAGGAAGTAGCATGACGATGCACCTGCCACTGAGCACACAGGCTGGTCATTTCAATCTCTTCTGCTTGAAGGTTGGTTACACCCAAAAACACTATAGAAAAACAGTAACATAACTGTGTCACACTGCAGGCAATATCCTTAATATCCCCAAATATGAAACAAAATTTAACTCAATAAAATTCTGATTCTCATAGTTTTATTGAGAGAAGAGGAAAAACTGTTAATTCACAGAGAAACAGTGCACAAGAAAGAATCACTTATAAAATAAAAATTCCATTTCAACACTTCATTTTATATTTGGTGGTGTGGGGAATTGAATACAGGGTACCACAGCTGCAAGGTAAGTACTCTACCACTAAGCTACTTTTCTAGTTCTACACATTATGTTTTTTAATGCCTGCCTGATGCTGGTAAACAAACAAACAATAGCAACTATATATATATATATATATATATATATATATATATGTATATTCACAAGAAAAATAGACGCAATAGATGATTAAGTTATGGGTAAAATTATGAATGCTTGAAAAAAGGATTTAGTTTAAAAATTAAAGACTTTTAATCTTTAATTAAACACAATATGTCCTAACCACTGAAAGACAACCCTGGCTTAAATAAAAGGGAAGAACAATGTTGAGAGAATAGAATTCTTACTGAAACAAAAGGAGTTTCACCCAGCACTGACATTGCAAGTGGAAGCAAACATAATGACATGGAACTACATCAAACTAAGAAGCTTCTGCACTTCAAAAGAAACAGTTACCAAAATACAGAAAGAGCCCACAGAATGGGAAAGAATATTTACCCAATACCCATCTGATAAGAGACTATTATCCAGGATATACAAGACACTAGTAGAATTATACAAGAAAAAAACCTTGGGAGGAAGAAATGAATAGAAGCTTTCTCAAAAAAGAAATACAAATGGCCAAAAGGCACATAAAAAAATGTTTCACATCGCTAGCAAATCAAAACAACAATGAGATATCATCTCACACCACAGAGACTGGCATACATTCAAAAGAACAAAAGCAACCAGTGCTGGTGTGGATGTGGGGAAAAAGGGACACTCTTTCACTGTTGGTGGGAATGCCCACTAGTCCAGCCTTTTTGGAAAATAATATGGACAGTCCAAAAACTAGAAATTGAACTTCCATATGACCCTACAATACCACTTCTGGGAATATATCCCAAGGATGCGAAAAAGCACAGTAGAAATGACACCTGTACCTATATGTTCATTGAAGCACTTTTCACAATAGCCAAAATCTGAAAACAACCCAAATGCCCTAGAACAGATGGCTGGTTAAAGAAACTTTGGTCCATCTACAGGAGAGATGACATCATGAACTTTGCTTATAACTGGATAGACATGGAAAGCTTCCATATGACCCTACAATACCAAGTGAAATGAGTCAGAAAGAGAGGGAAAGACATAGAAGAACTGCACTCATTTGTGGAGTATAAAACAACATAGCATGTGGCTGACATCTAAGGATAGCAGATACACGGGACAGATAGACTGCTCCATAGCTGAAAGCCTGCCTCATGAGCAAAGGGGAGAAGGCAGCTGGAATAGAGAAGGGATCACTAAGAAAATGATGGCTGGAGGAATCGGTCTGGATGGGAGATGTGTGCAGAAAGTAGATAAAGGACAAAACATAATAACCTCTCAGGGTCTGTATTGCAAACCATAATGTCCAAAAGTAGAGAGAGATTATGAGGAATATTGTCTGCCATGGAGGCAGGGGAAGGGTGGGAAAAGAGGGGTGTACTGGGGATATTGGTGGTGGGGAATGTGCACTGATGGAGGGATGGGTGTTTGATCATTGTGTGACTGTAACACAAACATGAAAGGTTGTAACTATCTCACAGTGATTCAAAAAAATTTTTTAAAAAAAGAATATTGGCATATGTGGTGTGTATTAAAACCTTTCCTTGTGATATGTAAATAAATCAGTAATCATGGAGATGATATAAATATAATTATTGACATGCTTTGATAATAAATAGTTGAAAAATGAAAAAAAAATTGACTTTTTCCATTCAAGAAAAAAAAAGGAGTTTCACCAGGAGTGGCTTTCAAAATGTGATTGAATTATAATCTACACATATTTGAATTTTCTTAAAATTTAGAAATGAATCGCTTAACAGGGTTAACAAAAAAAGATATAAAAAATTTAAAGGTAAAAGGTAAAGGTAAAGGTAAAGGCCCTCCCGTTGATCGTCGATTTGCTCGAGCGGGCCCAGTAACGTCTCCAATGGAGACTTTGTTGTTACTGTGTCTGGCATATCGAATACTCTCGGTAGCTTGCCAGGCTCTCCGAGAGGGGCGGAGGAATTCTATTAATCTTAGAACATTGTAGTGCACAAAGATGATTTGCAGAAGTTTCGTTTGCGAAAGCAGTTAAATATTTCTCTAGTACAAGAAAGGAATAAACATCTGGTACTTATCTGATTCAAGTAATAAAAACAGAAGACTAATAAGATTTACTTTTTCTAATGACCTCTTACTTCCATGTATATCATTTTCTCTTATTTCTCTCTATCACTCTCTTTCTCTCTCTTATTTACTACCTAAAATTAAAACTAGCTTAAAGGTACTTTTAAAGTAAAAATAATTTTATCTGATTACAATTTAAATCTTTTCATTGTCTGTTTCTGTTAGATCAGTGAAGAAAGATCTTTTTCCTGATCAATTAAACAAACTTGTTCCTATAAGAAAGGAAGCCAATAACATTTAAATAACCACACTAAAATTTAGAAAATAACTTTAATTGGTTTATTTGTCATTGAGTAGGTTTTATTTTGTTTGGGGAAAGAAGGGAAAACTAAAAAAGTCTAGATTTTCTTTAAGAAGAATATAAAGGTCTTCAATATCTTCTTTCTTTTGAAATGTATTTGGAACATGCAGCATACTTATTAAAGGAGAGAAAAGGATGAAACAGAAGAAAGTAAAATCAGAGAAAAAAGAGCAAGAACAGTGATAGAGACCCATAGACCACTACAGTATCCAAAACTAGTATCACTTCAACAAGATCATAACAACAGGTCAAGGTTTTCTTTATTCACTGAAGATAAAGACTCAAGATCATAACAACAGGTCAAGGTTTTCTTTATTCACTGAAGATAAAGACTATTTCTTTTGTAATTAAATTGAGTCAGTATCCAGCTTTTAAGACCTCAAGATATTCCACAAAAGAGAATTCAGGAAGCATCCCTTCAATGACAGGGTTAGCCCTTTATAGAAGATAGGTGGTCTCATTTAGGTGGCCTGGAGACTGATTTAATAGAACTTATTCTTGCTTGATCTCCTTGGTCATATTCATGATTTAATTAGGGATGAGCCCGAGATATGGACCAAGTGCATAAAGCATAACTATTACAATAAAAAGTCATTATTCAAGGAGTGCCTGCCATGTGCCAGACACTTTTTATGCATTGTCTCTTTAATCTTCACAGTCAGCCTATAAATGTTTATTATCCTCATTTGAAAATAGAGAAAACTGAACTCAGAGAATTTGAGTAATTTGCTCAAGGCAAACAAATAGCAGATTTAAGGCTTATTCTTCTGATTATAACCTGACTCTCAATTGTAAGTGTGAAGCATATTCTAGAGATAGCTCTCAGAATGGCTTTAATCAGCATGCAGCCAAAGCATTTTTTTTAATCATTGATATATTATCTTTTCAATGTATATTTTAAAAACACTGTTTTTTAAATTGTGTTCTGTTTTTAGCAATCATGTTGGTTTTGAGAAGTATCTGAGCTAAAAAAAAAACTGCAAGTCAACGTAAAGAAATATTTCAAACAGATGGTGGGGAGTTATTACAAACATTGGGATAATGGAACATACATGCTAGAATTTGGAAAACATTGCATTATTCCATGGGTGTTTGCAAGTGGTAAATGCCAATGAGAAGTCCCAGATGGTGTACAGATGGCAGAAAACTCCTTAAGAGGTAGACAAGAAAGTTCTTAGAAATGGACATGCACATGCACATCATATGAATGGTGTGTGTGTGTGTGTGTGTGTGTGTGTGTGTGTGTGTGTGTGTGTGTGCGCACACACACATGTGGATTTACACAGGAGTACAAGTTTTGAGAAAAGACAAAATTCACCCTGGGCCAACTCTGCCTGGTGTATGCCCTGTCAGGCTATGGGGCTGGTTGGAAAAATTCACCTAATTTCTAAAATGGCAAGACTTTCCAGAAGGAAATCTTATCTGCCACCATCAAGTAAATTCGAATGCCAGGCGCTGACATTCTGCCTGTCAGCCAGACTCTGAAGCACGGCTGAGTCCCAAACACACCTTTCTTTCCATGGAGCACCAGCCAGAAGGGGAAACACTGAGGAAAAGAAAAAGCAACCGCCAAATTGAAGCCAGGGTTCAGTTACAGTGAAAACAAAGCAGCAAAACCACATGTGGGGGCTGAGGCAACAGAACATCCGTCTTACTTGTTTTCACCACGCCTGTCAGAGCATCGCTGAGGCCTGAGGCCTGGGAGGCAAATATTTTCACATTGTAGTCCATGCCACTGAGGAGGTTTGTGATAAGAATGGTGTTAATGTCGGCTCCCACGAACGTTTCCAGGGTTGGGCCAGCCACTGAAGGACACAAGAGTGCATTTTAACCACAATAGAAAATGGGAACATAAAAACACTCTTTAAAACATTTGACCTGATTCGATTGTTTTCCAGTTTTCTAGGCAAGTCTAACAACTGGGTGGGTTTAAATCTAGTCTCACCAGGTTCTAAAATCCACTTATCTGGGGCCAGAGAGATAGTACAGAGGGTAAAGCACTTGTCTTGCAAGCTTCTATCCCCGATTCTGCCTCTGACACTGCATATGATCCCCCAAACAAAGCACTTCTCACACCACCATTAGGTTCTAGTTCTTAGTAGCTGCTGTAAACTTACTGTCTGCTAGATCATAAGGCCTTCATGGGGATGCTGACCTATTCGGCCATGGCATGGGAAGGCACCTTCCCCACCGAAGAAGTAATCTCAAAGACACCTTCTCAGATACCTAGATTTGTCGCCAGCATGCATAAAAATGGCAGCAGCTGCAAATTTTTCACAAGTCTGCAATATTTGGACACATGTGGGGCCTGCACCCATCTGATTATACTCTAACATCTATTTACTCCCCTTATGAATTTAAAACCAGATGGATAACATTCTAATTCCACGGACTCTGTCCAGCTGGCTACTTTGGGATTTGCATTTTCACTTTTGTTTCAACCCAGTAAAGTCTGATTTAGCATTTAGCACTAAAACTATTCCTTGCTAAGCTCTATGCAAATATATTGACCTTTGTCTTTTCCCATACATACTCAATGATAAGATTGAGACAGTGACAGGTTCCTGAAAAACCCATAATTTTAATCCAGAACTCACCTCCCAATAATCTATTCACATTTCTCTCTCTCTCTCTCTCTCTCTCTCTCTCTCTCTCTCTCTCTCTCTGGTAACTCTCTGTATATGTATGTGATATGTGATTTCCTTCCTCCAATTTTCAGTGCTTACATCTACATGACATTCTCCCACTTGACCTACAACTTGGGCACTATTAACATCTTGGCTACATTTACTGGAGGATGGGGGAAGGGAAGTGCTAAATTTATGGTACTTAACAGTACCCACTAAATGCAATAGCAAGTCTCCACTCTCCAAACCACAGCAATAAAATAAATGTCTTAAATAGAAAGATTGTGCCCTAAATTACTGTCCAGAAAGAAACATATGATCCCTTGGAAAAGCTGACAAATATTTATAGAATGGGCCAAAGAATAATTCAGTAAGACCATCTTACAAAATTAACATATGGTCAAAGAGACAAAAGAGGCCTCCCCCATGAACATGGAAGTGGAGTCCATGGAATCATTCTGGATATGTATGTGCCCAGGACCTTGTCTTGATTTTTCATTTGCATGCTTCATAGGGATATTTGGAGAAGTGGAATGTGGCAGTATTTAGTTGTATTGACCTGGGAGTAACTAACCCCAGAAAATGGCACACAGCAGAAAAAGGAGAAAAGTCTAGAGTACTCCTTTGATAATAGATTGAGACTTGGAATTTTTCTGAAGCCAAAAAGCATTTGTATCATGGCACAAAGAACATTCTAGAAATTTTTCTGCTAATTTAAGAAAGAAAGATCATTGGAAAGCCCCTTTTCTGCCAAACAACTTAAGAGAAGTAAAAAGCCATGCTTAAAATACAGGGAAGTTTCTCTTTTCTCCTTTATGGATCACCTGTTGGACTTGAATATTCTGAGGGTCACAGGTGCTGATGCACCTGCTCTCCTCCTTACGGGATGTGGAAGGAGGCAACTGTCCCTCATTGGGTCTTACTCCTGCTGTCAGAATATGATGATGAGCAAGTTAAGGAGAAAGTCATCTCCTAAACAAGGTGGCTAGGAGGCCCTGGGAACTTTACTATCATAATCTAAAAGCTTTGATGAATTCTATAGTCTAACAAACATTCAGAATGAATGAACTGAGAAATTGCCAGCGATTGTTGTCGACCTCTGATGAGAAGTGACATATAGAAGAAGAATTAGAAATGAGAGGTTGCAAATGTGTGAAGCTCCTAGAGTCCAGAGATCTCCTGCCCCTATATTTCTTTAGCCTGGTTTCCTGTCAAGGTGTGTATATCAAGGAAAAACCACTGCTATATTTTCTTATTAACATACCCACTGGTATAGTCGTAAAGTTCTCATTCTGATCATTTCTACCTTCACACTGACCATACTACAAAAGCTTTCCACTAAAAAGAGTTAAGAGCCTTTAACACTTCCTAAAGCCAAAGACAAGAAGCCAAAACAAGTCTAATGTATCTCCAAAGACATTTTTGACCTCTGACTATGACAGAAACATTCTATAAAGGCATTACTTACCACTGACGGGTTTGTAAACAATCCTATAGCCCTTTACAGGAGAGGATGGGGGATCCCACGTGATGCGTAGCCTGTTATACCATTCTTCTGAAACGCGCAAGTTTTGGGGACCAGAAGGTGACACTGAAGAATGAGGGAAGAAAATAGGGGTTTAGTGTGATTTCCATCTTTACAACACTGTTGCTAGTAAAGTCTAAGATATGTTTCCACAATGTTAGACAAATTTACAAATGTATTAAAACATGTTGGTTAGCCTTCAAGAGTTTGTGGTTGTATTAAATATTAAATACATGGAAAATAATTGGTTTTGTGGTGAACCTTTTCCCCCTGAATATCAGGAGTCCATTCAAGGCCATTTGGCTCTTTTTCCTTCAGTTAGTTTTAAGAAGAAGTGAATTGAATACTATTTATTTAAAATTGCCTTCTAGGCTTGGGAGATGGCTCAAAGGTCTAGGAAGCGTGCTATGCAAGAGGGAGCCAGGAGTCAATTCCAAGATTCCCTGGAACCACAAGCGGGCCTGGGAGTGACCCCTAAGTACCACGCTGGAAGGAGAGCCCCGCGCACTGCCAGGTGTGGGCACAAAACGAAAAACAAAAAGTCCATCTAAATGCCACTCTGGTTCATTTTCAAACTATTTGTGTACAGTAATATCAAAGGAAATGCTAGTAATTAAATAGCTCTCAGACATGAGAGTCTAATGAAGTAGGTTTTTTTTCCACTTCTGTCTTCATATTGTCTGTATTTTGAAATTTTACATAATTTAACATTTTTAAATCAGTAAAAAATAAAACAAAATAAAAACATTGAGAATAAATATTGGCCTATTTTAAGTTATTAAGTCGTAGCAATGATAGAAGAGAAAAAATAAATTCTAGACTGTAATTACTTTAAGATATACTATTTCCACTGCTGTCAATATTTTATACTTATGCATGTACTCTATAGTAGAAGCAAAAATTATCTCCAAAATCATTTTCTCCTTAAAATACTGTGCATAACAGAACCGCAGGCAATATATAACATACTAAATTACAGTACAGGCATTTTAAAATTGTCATTTGCCAATTTTTATCAAATCATTAAAGCTATTTATATAAATCACCTTTATAAATTATGATACATAGTGATATTCTATGATTTGTTATTAAAAATAATTTTGACCAAATGAAATAAACCATCCACTAACACTGTGAAATATTTCACTATATATATGCAAACTGTCATATGTAATGATAGTTCTATAATGAGATTCAAGTATAATTTCTAAAATAGTCTTTAGATAGGTTCCTATTCATATGATTGTATATTTTCATAATTAAACCCTCTATAAATTATCTTTGCTTTTAACATACAAAAGGTAAAAGTAGATTTATGTGCCCGGGTCCCCTGCAATCAGAGAAGCCACATTTGCCTTCTCCCTACCTTCCTCCCTACCTTCTCTACCTTCTCCCTACCTTCCTCCCCACTTCTTCCACTCCTCTACCCATCCTCTAGCCCTGGTGGTGGTGTGCATGTAACTTGACGAGACATTAAAACGAAAAATCATGCACCTCCAAACTATCGAAGGACAATTGAATCTTCATTGCTTATTTTAAACTATTCTTGCCAGGGACTGCAGTAATAGCACAGCAGTATCGCACCTCCCTTGCATGTGGCCAACCCAGGTTCTATGCCCTGCATCCCACTTAATACACTGAGTTCTCCAGGAGTAACACCTGAGTGCAGAGTCAGGAGGGAGCTTTGAACACCACTGGATGTGGCCCCCCAAAACAAAATTAAAATAAACTCTTCTTGCTAATCACCGCCCCTGCTCCCCTGCAACAACCTGGACTTAAAACAAACAAAGATAATGTATGTAATGAGTGTTCCATAAATAGGAAGGAGTATTACTTGATATTCTTCTTTAAGTGCTGTTTAAGACTGTGGTTTTCAAAAATTTATTAAAAATACCAATACATGCTAAAATTACAGCATGTTAATCAACTCACTATCAAGTGAAGATGACAAATTAGAGATATACAGAAGGAAGGGACAGAAGCCCTCCCATTGCTCTACTCTGCCCCTTTCTGCCCCTTTCCTTCTTTCCTTCAATTATGACTCTGTAGAGAAAAATTCTAAGTAGCCCACAGGGCTCACAATACTCTGGCAAATATTTAGCAAAACGTGCACATTTGGTGGGAGTCCAGGGGAAGGAACTCCTACCAGAAACTCCGGAAGGAGGAAAAGGGGAAGGCAAGATTAAGTGAGAAAATAAGTCAACTTACTTGACAGCACGCTCAGAATCTGGGCTGCAGGATTTTAGTTGGAACTTGCGTACTTAATTGAAAACTCCTCACCTAATCATCCAGATACAGAGCTCTTCCCTAGTAAATATTCTATCCAAATAAATCAAACATGATCCCTGATATTGTGATTGACTAAGCACAAAGAAGCTTTTTTGATGCTTCTGTCATTAAGAGATGCATTCCATGAATCTTTGAATCTGGATGGGTCTTTCCTGGAGCCATAGACTACCACAATAGGTAATACTGTGTTAGATCTATATATAGAACTATCCTGCTGAAGATTTCTTGGTACTCTTGTACTTGAGTCATAACTTAAGCAGTAGGACTGTCCTGCTAGAGTCTGTGTAGTACTTTAAGACTACATGGAAATAGAAAGATTCAGCTGAATCTTTCAAGAGTCCCATCAAAATGCAAGACATGTAGGTAGAGTTGTCTTGGATCCTCCAGACCAATCCAAACACCAAGTTACTGTAACAAATACTATGTGAAATAGGATTTCCCAGCAAGCCCTGTTAAATTTCCCAATTCACATAATTAAGCAATAGAACAAAATAGTTGTGCTAGACCACTTGGTTCTGATATAGTTTACATGCAAGTATGGACAACTGAGCAGTGATGAAGATAGCTAAGACTTTGGGGTGTTCTGATAAAAGGTTTTCAAGAAATCTCCTCATTTGATTATCATGGTCAGTTCATCTAAATCAAGCACTGTGTGGCACCTGTTTGGGGTCATACAGTGCTATAGGAGGTGGACATGTGAAGGTGGATAATACAGATGAGGCTCTGGGCTCTTTTGCCGTTGCTTTCTAGGCAAGCGAGATGGGCAATGAATAAGGATATGAGCAAGCAAGAAACTATCAGTAGTAATGCCTTAGCATGATCCAAAACATCGAGCCCCAAAGCATGATGATCTTATAGGGAATATGAGTTAATGGAGTGGTAAGAAAAATCTAAGGGAGTGGCAATGTACTGAAACCAAAACCAGAAGTAAAACATCAAAAATGCAAATAATGGAGAAAGGAAGATGAAAGGAATATTCCTTGTAAAATGAACAATTAGTTCACATGCACTAAAATGTGCAGTGAAGTTCAGGGAAGGAAATAGAGTGGGGCAATAGTGGGAAGATGAGCTAAAAGAAGATAGCCAGGTGAGGTCACAGATGACCTAGAGGGCTATTGGATTTTAGCTTGAAGAAAATTCAAAAAAGAGGGAGGAGGTAAGATAACTTACACTTTGGAAAGCAGAGTTCTGGGAAGACAACAGGGCTCCAAAGGCGGAAATGGGAAGAACTGATCAGAGACCTACATTCATTTGAGCGAGTGTTTGGGTTGATTCAGGATGGAACATTCTGAAGCAAAGGAAGTAGACTTGGCATATAAGATACGTTTTGAAAAACCAACAGAACTTGCAATGTATTAGATGCTGGAGATGTGAGACATAGTTGGTATTCTATTGTTGTTGTTATTTGGTTGGTGTTGTTCTTTTGGGGTTTGGCTTTTTTTTTTTTGGTTTTATGGGTCACACTTGAGATGCTCAGGGGTTAGTCCTACTTCTGCACTCAGGAATTACTCTTTGCAGTGTTCGGGATCATATGGGATTCTGGGGATCAAACCCAGGTCAGCCTCATGCAAGGTAAACACCCTACCTGTTGTATTACTGCTCTGGCCCCTATAGTTGTTTGCTAAGACTTCATTTTTATAGACCAGAGCCCAAAGCCAGAGCAATTAGGCAACTTGCCCAGAGTCACAAACCAAGGACTATGTTTGATTCCTGAGCATGAATGAAAGATATAGGCTCAAACATGGATGTCCTGCCTCCAAATTGCTATTGCTCTTTTTACCAACTTAAAGTGTGACTTTCAAAGGTGCAGTATAGGGAAAGAGCACTGACCCCTCAGGGACAAAGCATTACTCACAGGTTTTTCCTGGTGCAGAGACACTGACGCCTTCTCCGTCATGGTAGATGGGAGTCACAGTGACCTTATACTCCATGTTAGGCAGCAAAGGCTTCAGAAGGAGATGGTTCTCGCTTCCAGGCACCATAACCTGATCACAAAAGCAGAGAACCAATGCATTAATAGGACTTTTGTTCCCTTGATCAGCATGGAATGGGGGCACTTTAATATAGCTCGATGTAACAGGTGTTTAGATAGTGAGAAGGCAACTTGGGCCTCAGCAAAAAAAGTCTTTCTCTCTAAGATGCCCCTCATAACAATACTGCATTGATAATCACTGATAGAAATGGTCTTCATGGGAATCTCTGAGATTCTGAGAAAAAAGCTTTAGACTCAGTCTTCTCTGAACAAATTTCCAGCATTTGTGAATTATCTAGAAGTACAATCATCTCTTTGGGGAGAAGGTGTTTCTAGCTCAGGAGTTCATTCTATAACCTAGCCTGTACACCATTTTTGACTCTACTTTAGCATCCTCTAGAAAATCCAGACTTCCATGTGTTACCCTTTCAGGAAAATATCCCAGCACTTCAGAAAAAGATGGATGCAAGCCAAGAACAACTGAACCACACATTAAATCCAAGTTTTCCAAGCTGGAACAGATTTGACAGCAAGTCTAAGAAATGTTGCAACTTTTTTTTTTAAATTTAAGAAAGGCGGTGCCTTCCTCCATCTGAAATCACCCTCCCTCTGTCTCTAAAGGCTGCAAGAGATGAAATCTAGTGGATAGATATCTAGTACCATGAGCCATGTGGCTTAGCAATGCAAATTCTGGCACCCCCCAAACAACCTATGGATCCGAGAAGCCATGTGCTCCCCATGCTGAAACCACAAAACTTTTGTGTCTGCTCCAGCAGTTAGATGTTGGCACATCTCAGGACCATTTAAGGAGCTTAATCATGGCTGGAAAAATGTTAGGATGTAAGAACTGACCCAGACGTGTTTGAGGGAGTCACAAGACTGGGACAGCTGGAGCTGCTTTTTGATTCAAGGGTTGGGTAACATGCCAGCAGGCAAAGGGCTGAGCTGTCTCCTTCTGGATGCAGATAATCTTTAAATCATGGACTAAACCCCAAAGATCCTTGGGTTGAACCCAGATGAATTTGTTGCCAAAATATTGCTACACTCTAAAAGCAGTGTGTGTGTGTGTGTGTCTGTGTGTGTGTGTGTGTGTGTACAGTAGTATGAATTAGGTGATTTTATACAGGATCAAAATGATTTTTCTGCACATAAGAAATGACATTAAAATATACAGGATTGAATTGATGTGGTCCTGAAATGGGATGGCTTTTTTTTAAAGGAATTTGGCTTAGTTCGATATTTGTGTTAGTTAGACCTGGCATGGAGGTCAAAGGAAGAATTGTGGTTGCCCTAACTTGCATTACTGCATCCATGAAGCTTGCAGGGTGTTCCTTCTAAACAAAACTCCTCTGAAGCATAGATCCTAGAAATTCATTCCAAGCAGTCTGCCACGTAAACCACCCAAGTTGACATTCCTTAGATATGGTCATCTCTCAAAGTGAGAGGGGTCTGGTTTGGGAACCAACCAGGTTGAGCCTTTGGGTACTGAAGTGGCATCATTTGGGAAGATGCATTACTTGCCAAGAAGTTGGTGTTCTAGTTTATATAATAAGAGTCATTATTTATATAGTAATTAATATGTGCCAGATACTGCTCCAAGAATTCTAAGAAAGTAACTTGCTTCCTCTTCACTGCCACCCTTTGAGTAGCATTAGACTCATTTTACATAGAGGGAAACAGGCCCATTTAGCTGATAAGTTATACTGATTTCTCCGGTGGCTGTACTGGGTCTAGCCTAAACCCTGTCCTCTCCCCTCAAGACTCGGCTGCCTGCATCACTACTTGCATGCAAATATCTTCTGTTTGGCATTTGTTTGCACAAAACAAGGGAAACTGGGCTTCTAGAAGCAGGTGGCAGATCCTAGCACATGATGGATTTGTTTAGAAAACAGGTCAGGGACCTGTCAACCCCACCAGCAGACATATTTTTACATTTTCCAGAAAGACAATTTCATGTCTGGCTTGATGACTGTTCAGTGTTCTTCAGAGCAGCTTGGAATTCCATCCAGTGCCCTGGGTCCCTGGTGGAAAGAGGATTCCCAGCATTGCACACTGCCTGCAGGGAAGAGCTACATGATATGGGTGCTCTCATTTAAGTTGCAATCCACTGAAGGCTGGTTTTTAGGGAAAAATAACAACAACAACAATAAAACTGCTAGAAAAAAAAAGCTCTTGGGGACAGAAGTTAGTATAGGGACCTGGATTTGATTCCTGGGATCACATCCAGGAATGATCTCTGAACACAGAGCCAGGAGTAAGCTATGAGCACCCCTCAGTGTGACCCACAAACCACAAAAAGAAAAAGAGAAGAAAAGTAAACAATAAGAATGCTCTTGTTTCTGGATGCTGCATCTTTAAAAGCTAAATTCTACAAACTGAACTTGTAAAAGAATGAGCCACGCTGTGTCTCCCTACTCAAAAAAAATTGCAACTCAGAATTCAGTTCATGATTACAGATTTTTATATCGAGGCTTTGGAACCATCTGGAACCTTAGTCTTTCACAAATAAAACATGTCAGACTTCATTTTGCTGACAAAAAAAGCTCAGTGCAAGGTCATCGTCACTCTTCTTTATTTCATAGCAGAGTCAGAGTTAATTTTTAGAACACTTTGAGGGACAGTCTTACTTTTTATGAGTTCAAAAGCATTTTGTTGGAAATATTGGGTAGATTTAATTATTCTTGGAAAATATATAAATGCTTCACCTACCTAAACTGAAAAACTATATTTAATTCCCGTTAAGTTTAGTCACATTTAAACTTGATTTTGGTCTACAATGTTACATAGAGTAGGTCCTTAAATAACCTCATTTTAATCAGTGTTGTTCTATTATAACATGGATAAGGGAAATGTTCTGATTGATGGTGAACAAATGACATTATTCGAGGATCTACTTTCATTTTCTGTTGTTTCACTTCAAGCTGTAGTTCCAAGAACCTGTCAAGAAGTTAAGTGAGAAATTATTTTCTCTTATTATAATTCCTATCAGATCTTTTCCTCACGTCAATTTAATCAGCTTTAAGAGTTCAGGAAATTTTGGAAAGATGACAGTAAACATTTCCTTAATCCGGATACATCTGCTTTTCCACTTTACTGATAAATTTTAGCCATCTGTCTTTCCCTTCTGGATATCATTATTTTAAGATAGTAGGTGTGTGGAAATTTAGGACCCATTGGATATATATCTCCTACTGCCTGCCCCACCTCATTTTCATAATCTCTATCTGAGGTTCCCGATTTTCCACCTGTAGTCGTAATACATTACATCCACAGAAGAGCAACACTGCATGCAAATTTGAGACATAAATTCTCAATTAGTCCTCAGTTAAGCCCCTGAAAAACTGTCTGAAAATTCAGTATCCAAATCAACTTAATTAGAATTCATGAAAGGAACCAGTAATTTAAATTCTATAGTACTTCCTTCCGTATAGTAAGTGCAGTATTGCATAGTTATCATCATCAAGTGCATAGTTATTGTTTTTCATCTATATTGAATTTATTTACCTAGGCACATATGTGTTAAGAACTTTTATCATTTTCCCTTTCATCTAGGTTTCCAACTATTCTGAATAAACTTGAAATGAAAGAAAAAAAATAGGAAAATATTTGGCAACAATTCAAAGTAAATATTATTCTTTCACATGGACACTTAACAACTGCACATAGGAGATTAAATTGCTATGCTCCCAATTAGTAAGAAAAATTTATCAAAAAATTTAATGTGTTTTCTGGAAAGAGTGAAAGGCAAAATAAATAAAACAGCAATTCTAATTCTAGGGAGATTTTTTTGAATCTCATTTTTTAGTTACTAAACCATAATATGAGCTGGAGCAACAGCACAGCAGTAGGGTGCTCGCCTTGTGCACAGCCGACCCGACCTACCCGGGTTCAATTCCTCCGACCCTCTTGGAGAGCCCAGCAAGCTACTGAAAGTATCTCGCCCACACGGCAAAGCCTGGCAAGCTACCCGTGACGTATTCGATATGCCAAACACAGTAACAACAAGTCTCACAATGGAGCCGTTACTCGGGCAGCTGGAGCAAATCGATGAACAACGGGAGGACAGTGACAGTGACAGTGAGACCATAATATGAGAATAATGTTAGAGAAATCAAACCCCCAAATTTTATAATTACTTCTCATTACTAAGAATAAATAATATTCATTTTTTAAATTTATCAGTCATGAATCATTTGAAATAGTTAGTTTAAGTGAATATATAATTCAACCTTTCTTGCCAATTGACTTTGCAAAATAACTCCCAGATAATTCATGGACCCTTTGGAAATTCCTGGAGTTTTTGTTGTATTCTGTAACAGTCCTTTTATCACTCTGATATACAGTACTTTCCCAAGAGAGTTTTGAACTCAAATAATTGCTTATATAAACCACATAAATTAATATAATTTTTATCAATGGCTATATAAATAAAGGAGAGGAAGAGGAAATAATCATGTTATTCTTGAATAATAATGAATTTGGAGACTTTTTTGGTTGAATGTCTCAAATATAATACAGCAGAGGCAAAGAATGCAAATAATGAGGCCAAATAGAGTATATTCATATTCCATGACTAAAAAGAAACATTGCTTTTGGACGAAAACTGGAGTTATCTGGTCTGAACAGGAAACATATCTAGGAAACAATTTTCAGGTGCTAGCCTCAAAGAAATGACATGGTATAAATTAAGAAAACATGGAAAGGATGGGATTAAGAGTGGATTCAGATTACGTATGTAGAAAAAAATAAAACTAAAACAATAAAAGGAAAATTCAATACATAAGAATCTAAATGTCTGAATGGAGTCATTCATGACTCAGAACAAGTTAGAAAGGACTTATAAATCTGTTCAAAATGAGTAGGTACAGTGAAAAATATAACTATTTTCTAATGAATATAATTTTATTAGGAATAAATCAATATATACTGAAAGTTTTATTTCTTTTGATGTATGCCTTGCTTAAGAACTTATTAGATTTTCCTCAGAAAGAGAGGGATAGACATAAAAAGACTGCATTCATCGGGGGGACATAAAGTAACAAAATAGGAGATTAATACCCAAGAATAGCTGAGATCAGTACCGGGAGGATTACTCCATGGCTTAGAGACCAGCCGGGCACTCTAGGGGAAAGGCAGCTCAGATAGAGAAGGGAGCACCGAATAAAGGGTGTTTGGAGGATCCTCCCAGGAGGCGAGATACATGTTGAAAGTAGACTATGGACTGAACATGATTGCCACTCAATGCCTCTTTTGTGGACCACAACACCCAAAAGGAGAGAGAGAACAAAAGGGAATGCCCTGCCACAGAGGCAGGGTGGGATGGGGGGGATGGGGGTGGGAGGGATACTGGGATCCATGGTGGTGGAAAATGGGCACTGTTGGAGGGATGGGTACTTGATCATTGTATAATTGAAACCCAAGCACAAAAATTTGTAAATCTACACCTGTACCTCACGGTGTTTCACTAATAAAAATTTTTTTAAAAAAAGAACTTATTAGATTTTCCAAGGGAAATTTGTTATACTTTAAGATACGTAAATGTTTGCATAGTAAAAGTAGATAGAATAAATTATACATTATTTAAATATACATAAACATATATCTATGTATATATGGGCATATACATTGGTATATATCTAGTTATACACACAGAGAGAAGCAAAAGTATTACCAATTTTTTTAAATGCCCCAACTTTGGTGTTTACTAAGTTATCACTGTACTAGCAGCAGCCCTGGAAACAAAGTACAGAAACTACATCAACCTGAAGTAGGTACAGCAAGATCTGCAGGCAGGAAGGACAACAAGAAATCATCAGCTGAGTTTGAATGAATGCAAAAAAATGAGTTTCTAGAGATGATAGAGTCACCAAGAAAGAAGTGACTGACTACGCATGCGTCTGTCTCTGGTGCAGACTCCCTAGCTCTGTGAGTCAAGAACACTCATGGAGTATAGGGGCTGGTTCTATCGGCCATTCCTACCACTTCTTCTGCAGGATCCCCTTGAGCCGTCAGGTAGGTCACTCGGAACTGCTCCACGCTGCTGTCGGAAATGTCCCACTTCACCCGCAGGCTTGAAGTGGTTTCCTCATCTACAACCAGGTTCCTGATTCCTGTCCGGAAAACTGAAATAAGCACAACCAAGGATGATATACCTTCAGCTCATCACTTTCCAAATTGAACTACAGGGTTGATTTATGGAAACAGTAACAAGTATTTATTGCTTCTCCCTAGAATAGATCACATGAAGCAAGAACAACTCAGTTTAATGGGAAGCAGTGGTGCCAATTGGTAGCAAACAAAGATGAATTTATGAGATGCTTTCAAGTACCATGAACCCCTGAAAATTTAAGAAAATGTATCAGACAGTAGGGCTCTGTGCATATACTCATAAGTACAAGCCACTGGGCTAGGAAACCCAAAGAGAAGCCCTGAAAGAAAACGTGATAGAAAAGAGAGCATGCTAGGTCAGGCGTGGTCAGCCCCAGGGTGTGATTCAGCATCTCACATGTATGCCATTCATCTGTTTTCTTGTCTCTCTTTATTTTTTTATTTTTATTGTGATGCTCAGGGGTTGCTCCCAGCTCTGCACTTAGGAATTACTCCTGGTAGTGCTTGGGGGGCCATATGGGATGCTGGGAATCAAACCCGGGTCGGCCTCATGCAAAGCAAATGCCCTACCCACTGTGTTATTGGTCCAGCCCCTTATCTTTCTTTAGACACCTATCTCTCAAAACATAAATCTCTCACTGTTACTTCTATCAATTCAGCCCACACAGATGCTATCTTTTCTATGATATCCATTCAAGTCACTTGAACTATGCTGTCTGGCACATTCCTTCCCATCTCTCAAGATACTTGTTCTCTCATCTGTCCCATTTTGCCTTCTCCTTCTGTCTTCCTTTCATTTTGCCCATTCCCACCAGTCTTCTTTTTCAATCCCTTTTTAATCATTCAGCAGTCACTGAACTTCTGTGTGTGTATCAGGCTATATTTGAGAATGGGGATATATAGTGATTAACTGATGACAGAAAAAGGAGAAGTGGCACAGAGGAAGATAGAGATTGACACTTACCAGGAAAATTTAAGGAAGTGTATCAGACAGTAGGGCAAGAGGAAACCACTAAATTCAGGGCAGGGATTTCTAGATGCTGGAGGAAATGAAGAAAGCATGAAGTCAGGGATGAGGTCAGGAAAGGAAGTACAATCCAATAAGAAAAGATAATGGATGATGAAGAGTAAATTAGTCAGGACTGATAGATTTTAGAGATCAGTAAACTTATGGTTGACGCTGGTAGCTTGTTAGTTAATTGAGAAGATAACAATGAGCTGAGATTGAAATAGCTGATGTAAGAAAAATAGACCAGCAATGTCTGTTATCCACAGAAATGCAAGGAAACTAAGAATTATCAACTGAATACAAGAGCAGTCACTGAGACAAAAAAGGAGAGTGGTAAAAAAAAAAAAAAAGGAGAGTGGTGATCTAACATTCTCTGGAAGATTCAATCCAAAACAAAGATAGTTGAGAAATGTAGCAGTGAGGTTAAGATTAGTAAACTCAAAGAGTTGGTGTTTAGAAGTAAGAAGAAATTGAAGAGTTCTCCGAGTTTATTTCTTCGAGAAATTTAAAGTGGTGTCTGGTTCCTAATGATGTAAGAAATGAAACCGGGATAACATAATATCTGTTGAAATTAACCCTTTCATAGAGTTGCATGAGCTTTTATTTATACTTACCTGTAGTCACGGGCCTGGTAGGTGCTATGGTGGTGGCTGATTCTGTCCAGTCACTGTCAACTACAAAGATATTCATTACTTTAAAAATTCTGTCATGAGAATAACTCTACTCAGTTTGATACAGTATTAGACATTTTCCAAAGCAACTTTTATTTATATCATCTCATTTGTTTCTCACAACAACCTTGTGATGGTTGTAAGCTAAGAAAGCGAGTTGCAGATAAGGCAGGCTTAACATCTTAGATAAGAAAACTAAACAAGTTCAAACTTGCTGATCATAGATAGCTGCAAGGGCTTCCAAACAAGACCACCAAGAAAGGCAATATGGTCTATGGTCTTGTCAGAGTGCATCTTCTGTTTCTTATATTCACCCTGGGCAACTCTGGGTCAGATTGGCTATGTAGGTCTCCCAGAAAGCTGTCTTCTTTGAGGTCAAGTTGCTCTTCTTTCACATCTGGTACTCTGACTGCCAAAAGCTCAGAGCTCTGAGAACTGCCTATCAGAGGTCACAGTTGTCGTGAATGACTGTGATACATTCAATAATTGGGGATGCCAGTATACAAAAGCCTAACCTAAGCCTTTAGTCTCAGGTAGGGTAATTTGGAATGATCATCCCAGCTTTAAAACTTCTAATAGAATTAGCTGAAGGGTCATTTTTAGCTTTTCTTTTTTTCCTAAGAGATATCTCTACCAAGTACACTTTTATGAGCCTTCTGGATCTAATTTCCTGTCTTAGAATCTGATGCCAGGGAACCCGACCAAAGACAATTTAATACGTGGTTAATACATCATATTTTAAAAAATGAAGAGATGAGTTAATTTTGTACAAGATTCTTGGAACAAAGATAAACTTGGAATATTCCAGAAGCTCTTAGATATATTAGGTTTATTTGTTCATTTATTCACTTATTAATTATTTAATTATTTATACATTTTTTCTTGGATCCTTTCATCCATCCATCCATTTATCCAATAACTATTTATTGTGCAGTTAAATATGCCAAGTACTACACTGTTTGGTAAGATATAATGTGAAAAACAGAACAGATAGAGATCTTCCCTTCATATTAATAGATTAAGACTCTAAAATGCATCTAAATGTTTAATTGAAGGTAAAGATATATGAAGAATTCTGGGTGATAAAGAGATATTGAAGCTTCTGTAGTTCAGGATGGAAAGGGGACCTAGTGAAATGAAGAGGATGATCAGAGTGGATAATAGGGGTAGTTATTATCATGTTTACCATATCAAAACTTACGTGTAGTCCCGACAGCAGTTACCACCTCACTTTCACTTCCATCATCCATTATGGCCAAAAGCGAAACTTCATATTCAGTGCCAGGATCCAGACCTTCAATAACATGAGAGTCTTGATCTTCTTTTAAGATAACCTAAAAAGTATTTGATGCTCAATAACTTGGTTTACTTGAATAACAAAGGGGGAAATAAAGTTAATAAAAATGATAAAAATGAAGGATGTTATCCTGGAATAAACAAAAAACAACTAAGCATAAAGAATACCAGGCTTGGGGGATGGGAGGATATTGGGATTAGTGGTGGTGGAGAATGGACACTGGTGGAGGGATGAGTATTCGATCATTGTATAACTGAAACCCAAGCACAAAAATTTGTAAGTCTACAACTGTACCTCATGGTGTTTTGTAGGATGACATTGCTTTGTCCTTTCTCCACAAGGAGCTTAGGTTTATCAGGTTACACCCATCACAGTGCTCCGGAGTCACTCCCATTCCTTTGTTTATCTGTAACCACTTCTCTATGCTCTCTTCTCCAACCAGTTAATCTGCTTTTCCCCCTAATCAGACTGTTAATTTGTAAGGTCAGGTCCTTCTAGGACACTGAAATTGTATTGTAAGTTAATATTGCATTTCTCCTCTTCCTATGTCTTTTGAATAGTTTACTTTAAAGCAATGCCCTTTTTGTATAGATACAGGAAGACCATTGATATTATGATTTGTACTCTGAAGAAAAGTTTTAAAATGTTATGACATTTATAGGCATTTGCATACAGAGATGTTTAATTCAGTCTTAATGTTATTTGATATAATCTTTTACATCAAAATGTCTATGAGCAACACTTTATTTTCCAAATAAAGTCTGGAAATAGTAAAAAAAAATAAAAATACCAGGACTTGGGACTGGAGTGATATTGCAGCAGGTAGGGCATTTGCCTTGCACGCAACCAAGCCAGGTTCGATTCCCAGCATCCCATATGGTTCCCTGAGCACTACCTGGAGTGATTCCTGAGTGCAAAACCAGGAATATGGACCGAACATGATTGCCACTCAATGCCTTTTATGCAGACCACAACACCCCAAAGGAGAAATAGAACAAAAGGGAATGCCCTGCCACAGAGACAGGATGGGATGGGGGGGATGGGGGTGGGAGGGATACTGGGATCCATGGTGGTGGGAAATGGGCACTGGTGGAGGGATGGGTATTTGAGCACTGTATAATTGAAACTCAAGCACAAAAATTTGTAAGTCTACAACTGTACCTCATGGTGTTTCACTAATAAAAATTTAAAAACAAACAAACAAACAAAAAAACCAGGAATCACCCCTGTGCATCGCCAGGTGTGACCCAAAAGGCAAAAAAAAAAAAAAGAAAGAAAGAAAAAAAAAGAATACCAGGCCCATTGAATTCACTTTTGAAAGTCAAACTAGATATTCTAGTATGCCCATAGCAAAAAACCTCTTAGAATTTCCCGAGTTATTTTGAAGTTTATTAAATGTCATTTATAAGATCAAAGAATCCGAAGCATATAAACATAAATGACTAAAGCACTGGAAACAGCAAGTTTTAATCTTAGAAAAATATGGTGACTTCATATAAAACTCCTTGCCTACAGAATATTAATTATTTCTGGGATTCTCAAACTTCTAAAGTGAAAAATGGAACCTGAACTCTGGAAAGAAAGATGGCGGCCGCACGGGAGCCTTGTGGACAGCAGGTTTGAGCCGGGGGCGGGGGGCAGCAGGGGCCTCATGGGAAGGGGGGCGTTCTGGGCCGTCCTTCACGCCCGACCGAGGTCACCAGCTGCCCCCACGAGCGGCTCTTTGGCACGGCCACGACTCCAGAGCACAGAAACCAATCTCTTAACTATCTAACTTTTAATAGAAATACTTCCAGGGTTAATAAATGAAACAGCAGAAATCCAAAACCAAGACATCATTTTATTCTTAAACCAAGCTGTAGAAAGCAAATCATTTCACAACACTGTTTCAGCATATCTGATTGGGGGGGGTCGTAAACTCTAAACAATAATTGTGTATCTTCTATCAAAACAATGTATCTAGTCAAAGTAGATAGAGTATTAACTAGAACTCATCTGCCTCACAGGAATTGGGAGGGGTTGGAGGTGGGGTTCTATTGGGGTTCACGGTTAAAAATAAGTATTGGTAAAGGGAAATGTGTTTGATACTTACATGACTGAGACCTAAACCCGAAAGCTCTGTAACTTTTCCCACAGTGATTCAATAAAGAAATAAACTATTAAAAAAAATGGAACCTGAGAGATAGTACAGAGGGTAAATGCTTGTTGTACTTTTCTTGAATGAGGCCACTATGCATTAAATCCCTAGCACCCCATAGGGTTACTCGAACACCACCAGGAGTGATCCCTGAGCACTGAGCCAGGAGTAAGCCACAAGCACCACTGCGTGTGGTCAAAAAAAAGCAACAATAAATTTTAATTTAATTTAAAAAACACTGGCAACTTGGATTCATAAAATAGTCTGAGATTTTGGTACTGCATCAAGGTAGAGTAAAAAAGTCAAGAAACACCAACTCAAATGCAGTGGTGGATATTCACTGACAGATAAAATGTCCAGGTTCATTCTAACACTCACCTCTTCCGTCTTCCCACCGTATGCAGGAATCCACATCAACTTGTGTTGCCCTTCATCAGCAGACAGGGGATGCCAGGTCACTCTAAAACTGTCTGTCTTCACCTCATCAATTTCCAAGTATTGCTGGGCTGGAACTTCCTCTGAAATCCAAGGAAGAAGATTTTCTTAGGGAAATGAGAAGGCAAGAAATCCAAAATGCAAGCAGTTCCTAGGGGCTTTAGAAAAAGAAGACTCAGAAATCTTTTGCTTCAGGAAAGTTCAAGATGCAGGGAAAACAGAGCACATCCGCCCTTTATGGCCTTAGATTCTTTATTCTGTCATAACTAGGAAGACCACTGGGAGAGCAACTTCTAAAACATAACTTTTTAGTTATGTCCAGAATTCTTAAATGGACTGTTTCTATTAACCTTAAAAGTTTAGCTCTAACATTAACTGTTGACAAAGATATTATTTTCCAAGTACTTTGAATATATCTAAAAATGGCTATAACAGGCTTGAAAATTTTCATTCCATTAGTTTTTGTGTCTAGTAATAAGTTCAATCCTTTCGCCTTAAAATATGTTCAAATGGTTGCAAGCAGAAATGAAAGGGAATTGATTAGAACTTCAAGTATTCCACAGCTTACCCATGCCTGGGGTGTACAAATGAGAGAACAAGGTGCTGTGACATAGCTCAGAAGAGTAAAGCACATGACTTGGATGAAGGAGGCCCTGAGTTGGACTCCTAGCATCACAGGAGTCCAACTGAACGTGGCTGGATGTAGCCCTGGTAGTCTGCAGCACCACAAGGTCCAAGCAGTACTGCACTGCCAGAACCAAGTACCAATCCATCAGTGCTAAGAGTGGGCTCCTGAGCACCAAATGGGGAGACCCCCTAAAGGAGAGGTTAACACCGATCTATATACAAAACAAATGTTAGGTATTGTTACCAGTTTAAGCCAGAATTTTCACAACTCTTTGACAGAATATCATGAGAATTCCAACTTGTGTTAGTCCTTCAGAGATTTGATGAAATTATTGAATTTTTTTCCTGGAAATATGGTTTCTCTACCCAAACTCCAGTTCATTTCTCATCCCTTTATAAATTGCTTCCTCGTTTCCTCAATACTGCACTTTGTTTCCAAGTGTGCTCAATGATAGACCCAGAAGACAAACGAGCCAGTGGCTGACACCAAAAGATGAAAATGTTGTACATTTGTTGAGCAACTACAGGGAACATGCAGGGGGAAAAATACACTTGTTCATTATTTTTAATTATTTGAAATATCCCAGCTTGGGATTGTGTATCCAATATGGTGATAGAGGGGGTTTCTTGATTCATTCTCAGGAGAATAAGAGAAAGTGCTGAGTAAACCCTTTAGCTTGAGATGAGACTGAAACGTACCCCCTGAATCTCAGAGCACTGTGCACTATGGAGGAGAGAGAAGAATCACTTTTCATTAGAAAAGTGTTTGTAGACTGCGGTCCAGGCAAAGGGACACAGAGGGCAGGTCTGCAGGAACAGTCAGCATAGTTAGGGGAGCTAGACAGGGGAGAGTGTAAACATTGTGGATATATATGCCCTTAGCCCAGCACGTATTAAAAAATACTGGACAGGAGGTGAAGGATATTCAATGTGAACACATCACTACATAAGATTAAGAGCACTATAGAAAATAAGCTAAGTGGAGAAATTAATATGCTAGTTCAAATGAAAAAGATACTCAGATATCTGTGGTGGAAGAGAAAAATCAATGATATATATTTTAAAAAGAAGAAAACTATCTGACTCCATAAGGAAATCCAACATAAAGATAACGGGTATCTAAGAAAGAGAGAGGAGATGTTATTTTTAAAAATAGTAGAATCTCTTCAAAATCTGGGGAGAGCATTGATTATACAAGTTCATAAAGCTGACAGAGCACATGGTTATCTAAACTCAGATACCTAACCTACACCATGACACATAGCAGTGGAACCATTAAAATTTCAAGATAAAGAAAATGTTTATCTTGGAAACTGAGGAAAGTGAGCAGGTAACATATAAAGATACTTCCATTAGACTTCCACTGAACTTTTCAACAGAAACCACAGACTAGAAAATGATGAAATATTTTCAAAATGCTTAAATATGAAAACTGCTGGTCTAGAATGTTACATCTTGCAATATTCTCTTTTAGATAGATTAGAAAGGATAAATAAAGACCTTCTAAGGAGAGCAACAGCGGAAGGAGTTTGACTATACAAGATCTCACTTATAAGAAGTAGTAAAAGGGGGGTATGGTGCTGCCGCAGGTCAATCTGTACCTGTGAGGAGAGTGCATCAGCAGCCTCATGGCGCCTTCAGACCTCCAGATACCCCAAAATTGCTGCTGTGCTTTGGCCAGACCCCAAAAACTTTGGGCAAAGTTTACCAAGAAAGTAAACGGCCAAAAGTTAGGTATGTGGGAAACACACCCACAAACCACCTCCGGCTCAGCTATATAATCGGAGGCAAGGCCTCTTTGGTTCCTGATTGAACTACTTAATGGACATGATCCCAGAGACTCAGAAACAAATCTCGGAACCCAGTGGCTTTAGGTAGAAATGCGTCTGGTCTCTGCAGTAGGCTACCGGTGCTGGGCCAACCCAGGTGGGAATAGGTTTCATGCCTTGGCCTGTTCCCCCTGGCGGCCCAGTGGCCACCATCCGTCTGAGGCCACTGGATAGTCACATTTGGGCCCCCAGTGACGAGACACATAGGGTCTCACGGAATGGGGGTGGAGCCTGGCTTGTCCTCCCCACCCCAACGAGACCCCAAGTCAACGCCCACGAATAGCCTCCCTGACTCCTGATCAAGCTGCTTAACGGCCATGATCCCAGAGACTCAGAAACAAATCTCAAAACCCAGTGGCTTTTGGCAGAAATGCATCCGGACTCCACAGAACGTTACTGTCGCTGGGCCACCCCAGGGAGGAAAGAGTGTTGTCCCTCCGCCTACTCCCTCTTGGCGACTTGGCGACTGTCATCCTCCAGAGGCCATTGGACAGTCAGGCTTGGGCCCGCAGTGACGAAACTTGTTGGGCCTCATGGGATGGGGGAAAGGGGGAGCCAGGCCTGTCCTCCCCACCCCAACGAGACCCCAAGTCATCGCCCACGAACGGCCTCTCTGGCTCCTCATCAAGCTGCTCAACGGCCATGATCCCAGAGACTCAGGAGCAGATCTCAAAACCCAGTGGCTTTTGGCAGAAATCCCTCCAGATTTAAGTGTTAAAATTTCAGAATTTCAAAACCACATGGCCCTACTGCAGCCACACGACATCATATGTTATTCATAACCAGCAATAGAACACAAATTGTCTATTGTTGCCTTTTCAGCAGATCTGAGTGTTGGGGTAAAATCTCAAATAATGGTGGGTCTGATGTCGAAATAGTGAATGTGATCAAAGTAGAGAGAGAGTAATGTGGAAATCATCTGTCCCACAGGTAGGGGGAGGGTGTGGGATGGGGATATACTGAGATTTTTGGTGGTGGAGAATGGGCACTGGTGAAGGTACGGGTGTTTCATTGTATGACTGAGACTTAGACCCAAAAGCTTTGTAACTGCTCTCACGGTGATTCAATAAATACAATTATAAAAAATGGAAAAAAAAAGTAAGGTGGAGTTCATGCACAATTCAATCAGCTAATCAGTGGCTGAATAAATAGCAGTACTCCTACAAAAAAAAAAGAAGTAGTAAAAGGAGCTCTCCTATTTAGAAAAAAAATAATAGCCTTCAAATAATTGATAAGCAATAGATGACTAAATTAGAAAAAATAGCAGTAGCACTCATATAAATGTACATGAGTATATAAATATTTATAAATGTATATAAATGTTTAGCCTTAGTGTAAACAGACTAAACTTATCCATCAAAAAGAACATGTTGGATAAATTAAAAATCAAAGCCCAACTATATTCTGCTTTCAAGATACTTCAAATATTAAAAACAGTCAAGCATAGACTTAATGTGAAGGAATGGAAAATGGTATCCCAAGCCAATGGAAATTTTAGCCTCTTTACTTATATTACTGGTTAGAACAGACCACTTAAAATTCCAGTTTAAAAAAGAGATAACAGGAGAGAAAGATGGATATTATATAAAAAATAAAGGATAGATGAAATTTGCATAACAAAAAGAATTAACAATCTTCTACATATGTATTTAGACACCAACATCATAATATGTAAAGCAAATACTTTCCTTTGCTGTTACTATCATTTTTAATTTTTTTTTTACTTTTTGGGTCACACCTGACGATGTGACTCAGGAATTACTCCTGGTGGTGCTCAGGGGACCATATGGGATGCTGGAAATCGAACCTGGGTTGGTCACGTGCAAGGCAAACGCCCTACCCACTGTGCTATCGCTCCAGTCCCTCATTTTTAATTTTAAAGTAGATAAATAGCTAAAAGAGAGTGATGATAGTCATGTTAACAGCTAGAGTGAATGAAATAAAAAGGCATCTATCCAGGCCACTGAATCAGCCCAGGTGGATTCCATCTCAGAGATGGAATTCCTCAATCAAAAGGAAAAAATTGCTTTAAGGTGCCAGATCAAGTCTGTTCTCTGCTTGTATAAGTGGTATCCCAAGCCAATTGAAATTTTAACCTCTCTACTTATATTACTATTTAGAACAGACCACTTAAAATTCCAGTTTTCTCAAAAAAGAGATAATAGGAGAGAAAGATGGATATTATATAAAAAATAAAGGAAAGATGAAATTTACATAACAGAAAGAAATAACAATCTTCTACATATGTATCTATACATATGTATAGATAGTTGTGGCAAAAGAAGCCACAGAAGGATCATCCGTATCAGTGATGATTCCACGAGTCCCAGGAAAGAAAGGCAAGTCATTCAGATGGAGCAGCTCCTGTAAACTACCCCAGAACCAGAAGAATGGAAATTGTCATGAGTATAGAAATCCCAAGAGTTTCATGATGATAAACTGAAAGGCAGGAAAAGAGAGGAAATCTTCATAGTCCAGCAGAAGGTAAGGTCTGTAAAGCAAATATTAACAGACCTATAGGGAGACATTGACAGCAACAAATACGAGTTGTGAGCTTTAACAATGCACACACAGCAATGGACTTAGCACTTCAACAAAATCACCAAGAAAGAAATCAATTTAAATATCTAACTAGGTCCAAGGTAACTATCTGTTAAGTAGAAATATACTCTCTGTTACGGAGATGACAGATATCTGTGGCAAGAGGATTCCCTGGTAACCACCCACACAGCCACAGTGGGAGATAGAGGAACTCACATCCACCAACCGAGCAAGGTAACAGTCTGGAAAGAACTACTAAAAGGGTGACTCTAGGGAAGATACCTGAAAGTTTTAAAATTATGATCCCTGTGATGCTCTAAAATAAGGACATCAACATAAGAGCACTTCAACAAAGTCTGGGAATAAGGAGTAAAAATAAAGCTATCATATTCCTATAGAACTGAAATAAGAGTGCAGAAATAAAAAACTATATGTATATGGATCAGTAACTAATCTATAACCAAGTGCTTATATGGAGCAAGGCATTTGCCTTGCACACAATCGACCCTGGTTCGATTCCTAGCATCCCATATGGTCCCCTGAGCACTGCCAGGGGTAATTCCTGAGTGCAGAGCCAGGAGCAATCCCTGTGCATCGCCAGTTGTGACCCAAAAAGAAAAAAAATTAACTGGGCTGGAGCGATAGCAAAGTGGGTAGGGTGTTTGCCTTGCACACAGCCAACATAGCCGACCCGAGTTCAATTCCTCCGCCCCTCTCGGAGAGCCCAGCAAGCTACTAAGAGTATCTCGCCCATACGGCAAAGCCTGGCAAGCTCCCTGTGATGTATTCGATATGCCAAACACAGTAACAAGTCTCACAATGTTACTGGGCCAGCTCGAGCAAATCGATGAACAATGGGAGGACAGTGACAGTGACAGGGGTTGGAGAGATGCACAGGGGTTAAGGTGTTTACCATGCGTGTGGCCAATCCTGGTTAAATCTCCAGCACCACGTATATCCCTAAGTCCTGTCAGGAATGATCTCTGAGCTTCAAGCCCTCTGAGTAAGTCTATTTGTTGATTTTCAATATGGACACGGAAACATACAAACACTCTGATCTGTTTCTTCAGTTTTAAAAAAGTGGAAATAGGGCTGGAGCAAGAGTAAAGGGGTTAAGGTTCTTGTGTTGCATGCAACCTAGCCCAGTTTCTTCCCTGGCACCTCAATCAGTCCCCCCAGATCACTAGGAGTGATCCCTGAGCACAATCAGAAGTAAGCCCAGAGCATTAACAGGTTTGCTCCCCATCTGAAAAGTAAAAATTTAAAAATCCTATATTTTTATTATCCTTTCCAGATGCATGAAAATGTGTTATTGACTAAAGACTGATATATTAGGTTCAATAGTATGAATCTTTAGTTTCTGATAACAGGAAACTGCCGAATATCAGCAATTTTTAAAGTTCAATGTAATATACATATGAATGAGAGATGTGGTGTTTTCGTATTACTGTACGTTATCATATGAAGTTAATATATGAGCTTATTTATACAAATTTATAGAGAAAACAAACAAAAGGAAGAAAATGCACTTGTAATGAACTGAGATTCTGAATAATTTAGATGGTCTTTGTCTCTTTCCCTTTCTGAGATGGAAAATAATTAGCCAAAATCCATTCCAGTCACCTAAAGCTGTATCTTAACATAATTAAATTGAATTGAAAGATTAAAATGAAATAAAAATGTAAAAATGAAAATGAGACTGAGGAAGGTGCTTCGGCTTCCAGATCTCTAATCACTGTTGGTGGATATGTTTCAAGCTACAGTAACTCTCACCTGTGGTGAAAACCCCGGTCAGAGGCTCTGACTGTCCTTCCTCATACATGGAGAAAATGGCGACCGTGTACTCTGTGAGGGGAGTGAGGCCTTTCAGGGGGAATGTAGTAATGGGGTCAACTTCAACCTGCAAAATAAAGAAGTCATGAATTGAGCCTGTAATCTAAAATTGTGAGACACAAACATACTTATCAGCTTGTTGGTCCCAGGCACAACTAGAGTTCACTCAGTAAAGAATTTCTTCCACATCCACGTCCCAAAAGTGGGTAAACAAAATTACAGCCTAAGTAAGCTATATCGCTCAAGAAAAACAGTTTTTTGATAACTGTGACTATTCTGCATTTAATGCATCCTTAACTCATGTTATTCGCCCCATCTTCCTACGTGTTGAACTGGCAACTTATAGGAAAGTACAGTTAACCCTTACTTAAATAATATCTGCATTAGGTTCTGGGAAATTAAAACTTTAAGCTGAATGTCATATATGAAATCAATCTTTACAGTCAGCTAATTGATATAACAAACAATATTTAAGTTCCTATGGCATTTTTCCAGTTATAAAACATCACAAAACATCCAAGATTGACCCAAACAATGACTTGTATTCTTTCATTATTTAATAGTCTTGCTCCAGTTCAGGCTTGTGGGTGACCGAAATTTATTCCAGAACTCAGTTCACTGGGTGGGTACCAAATGGAACAGGATACCATTCTATCATAGAGCATCTCTCTCTCTCTCTCTCTCTCTCTCTCTCTCTCTCTCTCTCTCTCTCTCTCGTTCTCCCTCTCTCTCTTTCTCTGACACACACACACGTGCGCGCGCACACACACACACACACACACACACACACACACACACACACACACACACACCATTCTGAGTGTAACAGGTAAAACATGCCAGTTTACCAACATCTTTGAAATATAGAAGACAGAGCAAAAAAAACTCAGATGTGGAGAATATAAGCCAATGCCCTAGACAATGATTACCAGAAACTGATTTTATTTTTTATATCAACAACATAGAACAAAATAATTTCAAAGAACTGCTGGAGTTATTTATTTCCTTATTTATTTACTGTGAATTGATGACAAAGACATGGATAGTTTAGTGGTTTCATTTTTAGTATTTTTACTGTTCCAAACTTCAGTTTTCAAAAGCAAAGCAACTAGTACAAAGGATTGCAGCCTCATGTGAATTAGTTGGCCTTTGGCACTGGTGAAGATTTTGCACTGATGAAAGATCTTGAATGGTATTTATGTATTATTAACAAATGTGCAGCTATTGTTCACTCATTACCTAATGTCACAAGTGAGAAAGCAATCTAAAAAATGCAGCTCAAATTTAATTGTAGGAAAAGTCTTGTATCTACATACTAAAATACTCATTTGTTTGGTCAGAAAATAGAAATGAGGTAATCAAACACATTATCCTCTTTGTCTTAGCTTTCTTGGACCAAGATAAGAAAAAAAGAATCAAAATAACTTTTCTGGAGCCTGCAGATGTGATTTAGTTGTACAACACATGCCTTGCATCTGTGATACCCTGGGTTCGATCCCCAGCACCACCCTTATCACTGCAATACCAAGCATGGTAATAATAACAACTAGGTTTGTTATCTCTCCTGCTAACATCTATTTCCAAGGAAAGAATTTCCAAAACATATTAGTCACTTGATGCATGATACTATATACTCATTATATCTATATACTATATCAAATTTTATAATCCAATTCTATTATTTCCAAGTAACTTCATCCACAAAATGAATTAATCAGTTTTCAAGCTGATCTCACCAAATTAGATCACACCATATGCTAGTTTACTCAGCAGAAGGATGAGCTGTATAACATTGACATTACTTCTAACTTACTACTTTTAGTAATAGAAATACTTTTCAAACCCCACCTACTGGGGCAAGTTGTATTTTCCAAAGATGGTCACATCAATGTACACCCATCACCCCACGTGGGTCCTGTGTTCCTCCTCATCTTGAATGCTTGCCGAGATTTACGAGTTTCCCCACCTATCAAGTGTGGTGCTGATGTTAGCCCAAGACTTCAAAAGCTACGTCATTAAAGGTAACCTAATTTCTCCTTTTCCCTCTATTGTTCCCTTCTCTGTCTCCTGATGTCTGTCTGTCTGTCTGCATTTCACTGCCCACCCCTCCCAGCTCTCCTGGAACTCTTGAAACAAGGTGTTAAGAAAACTATATCACTCCTAGAGCTTCCATTTTAGAGAGATCTTATGAGCAGTCTACTTAGAGGAAGAGAGTTACTGTTCAAATTCTCAGCTGACCCAGTCTTGACAGAGCAGACACCAGAATGTGAATAAACAAGTAATTTCAATGACCTCTGCTCTACTTTGCTCTCTGGCTACAATTTCATAAGTGACTCCAAGCCAAAACTATATACCCAAACTTCAATGTCTGGTCCACAAAAATTTCAAGAGAAAAGGAATAATTGATACTGTATTAAGTCACTATGCTTTCAAAGGATTTACTATGCAACCATTTAAAAAACAATATGTAATTCCCCAGGAAAAGAGGCATCATATCCCACATATCCTTACCTCATTGATTTCAGTCCCATCCTCGTTGTTGTAAACAATTCGATAACCAGTAATCTTCCTTGAAGTTGGGTCCCAGGCTAACCGAGCACTGTTCGAGCCAACATTGGAGACTCTAAGGTTTCGTGGTGGACTTAAGGGCACTTTTTAGTAAATAGAAAAGAAAATGATTAAAAGCATAAATAACACAATTTTTTTTAAAAAAAGCCAAAAATAGCATTGTTGCCTTCTAAACTGCTTATATTTTTTAATGTTCACGTAGGTAACTAACAATTCTAAAACAGTGAATTGACTGTTTCATAAAAATGATCAATGGACTCTTATTAACAAAGAAAAAATATTTCCCCATAGAGAGTGAAAAGGAACAATAAATTAAATATGCTTAGAGATAGATAAGTTGTAAGTAATTAGATATGCTTAGAAATGGATAAGTTTTGAACCTATAACCCACCCCCTCCACTGTTATTATTTTAGCCTCTTCTAAATAAGAAACCCCCTGTATTTTTTAAAAACAAAGAAAAGAAAAACAGAACAATCAAAATCAAATCTTAGTCATCCTGTTCAGCTAATAGTTTTACTATTCTAGCAAACCTCCTCACTCCCCTGTTCCACATGTTACCCTGTGTAAAATGAATGGCGTATCTACCTTCCAGTTCCACTTGGAACTCTAATCCATTTCCAAATTATTTGGAAGTCTATTAGGTGTTTCCAAATCTACTAAGTATTTACAAATATTAACATGTCTAAAACTGAAACGCCCAGTCACGCCACCTCTCCCCAAATTTTTCCCTGGCTCTCCCTCTAAGCAAAAGAAAGCTGCATTCTCCTCATACCAGCCATAAACTTTAGAGTCATCCAGGATTCCTTGTTCTCCCATAGACCCCTTATCCACTACCAATTCCTTCAATATCCATCCAAAATACGACTACTATCTTTTGCTCCCATTGCCACCATCTTGGTGAAACTTATTCTCAACACTTGGTGACGGGTTGTGCAATGGTCTTCCAGGGGCCTCTCTACTTCCATCTTTCCCTGATTACGTTTTTATGCAAGAAGCCAATGTGAAACTTAAAACAACATACAAGACAGATCATTTCATTTCTCTGCATAAAATCTTCCACATGACTTCTAATTACCCCAGAGTAAGTCCTCTCTAGAATGCTCTTTAAGGTTCTTACACCTAGACGTCTGTTCCCTCCCCATCCTATCCCTTACTACTCTGTCCCTGTGCCTTCCACTTGTTGGCACTGTGCTTTGTTCTGGAACCTCCAAGCATGCTCAGACACAAGATCACTGGATTTGTTACCATTCCTTGAAGCTCTTCCTTATGTACCTATACAGTCCTTTTTCTCACTTCTTTCAGCTACTGGATATGTGTCATCTTCTTAAGAAGGCTTTCCATGATTACCTTATGGTAAACTACCTTTCCACTCCAATACTATATGTTTTTAAAATACATTAAAAATTTATTTTTTAATTGTACAATTACTGGTCACTATCTATTACCCCAATATGTTATAATCCCAGGAGACCAGGAAATTGCTTTGATTTTGTTCCCGACTATATCTCCAATATAGCAATTGCTCAATTAAATATTTATTGGATCAATGAGCAGGAGACCTGCCGTGAACAATGCCACGGACATTTGTGAGACTAGATTAAAATAATTTGCTACTGCTTTAAAAGTATTGAGAGACTCACAAACGAATCTAGGAACAGAGCAGCATGCTGCAGTGATGCCTCCCCACCCTGCGCTAGGCAGATATCACTGAGGCATGTTGGAGGGGTGCAGGTGTGTCCCTCCACTTACCCCAAAAAAATCCCAGCTCACACAAACCACCAAAACCCAATCATTACCACGCTCAGGCCAACCCTCATGGGCTTTTCCTGAGCCCTCCACACATGAAATTGAATCCACTGAAAAACCCAGGTATGCAGAACTTGTGATGGAAATTTCCAGGCTTACAGAGTCAAGAATGGACCCCACAACTCATCTCTCTCTCTTCTGCTTTATTAGCAGTCATGCCTCTGGGTGCCATTTAATCACATTAACAGCCATGATCCAGATGCACAAATGAATCTCCGAAGAGAGCAGCACACTGTCAAGATGCCTCTGGACCCCCAAATCACCATCCAGTTTAAAAAAAAATTAACTCCAGTTCTAAACCCTATGAAAAAATTTTAGAATTCCAGGATCATACAATTTTCATACATTTATGCCACTTGATATACACTGATATACCACGTTTGATGGGTGTAAGATATTTGTACATATATATTACTGTCACTGTATCACTATCATCCTATTGTTCATCGATTTGCTCGCCTGGAGGCGCCAGTAACGTCTCCATTGGTCCCAGTCTCCATTGGTTCCAGTCCTTAGATTTTAACAGCTTTTTCTTACTCGTTCTTCCCAACACTGCCATATTGGAGGCTCTTTCAGGGTCAGGAGAATGGGGCCCATTATTGTTAGTGTTTTTGGCATATCAAATATGCCACAGGGGCTTGCCAGGCTATGCCATGTGGGATATATATATATATGTATATATAAAAGACATGAGTAAAGACATGAGTTAAAAAGTACAGAGAAAGAAAATCAATGTAATTATTTGAAGTGTTATACCTCTAAACTTTCTGCCAATAAATGTAAGACTGTTTAACTTCTTTTATATATATATATAATATATATATATATATATATATATATATATATACATACATATGCACACAAGATTCAAACTCTAACATGTTAATGATCTCTAGTTCAGGGGCTCAATGGCTCCAAGATGAAATACAACAATTTTCATATACTTTCATTAATTCATTATATGGCAATAAATAGCCTTAATAAAGAGACTGAGTAACTTTTTTGGTTTATTTTGTCTTGGGGTCACATCTGGTGATGTTAACGACTTATTCCTGACTCTGCGTTCAAGGATTACTCCTGATGGGACTTGGGGAACCACATGGGACTCCAGGGATTGAACAAAGCAAGCACTCTATTGCCTGTACTGTTTCTTTACCAATACCTAATGACTTTTAAAGACATGAGTTAAAAAGTACAGAGAAAGAAAATCAATATAATTACTTGAAGTGCTATACCTCTAAACTTTCTGCCAATAAATGTAAGACTGTTTAACTTCTTTAGTGTATAAAAGTGCCAGTCTTAGGAATAGGTACATATACATAACTTTTAAGACCTCCTCTTATTTTCTTTTTAAATAAATACTAATGGAAGGAAAGAAAGAGTTGATCAGACTTTTAAAAAAATTATTATGAATAAATAAACATTCTGAGTAATGACTTGGGAAAAGGGGTTTTTTTCTCCAAATGAAAGTGTCTTGTTTCACTTAATGATATAATCAGATTGTATCTGAAGGGCATGAAACTTTCTTAGTTGGATTTCCCCAGTATTGGTTGACTGTTGCTTTAATTACACTGGTTTTTCTTGAAAGAGTAAGAGCAGCAGAGAGTAACATAGAGTGGCTATGAGAGAAAATTTCTTTATTTATTTTTGAATTTCTCCTTCTTCTTCCTCCTTCTCTTCTTTTTGCTTTTTGGCTCCCACCTGGCAATGCTCAGGGGTTACTCCTGGCTCTGCACTCAGGAATTACTCCTGCTAGTGCTTGGAGGACCATATGGGATGCTGGGGATCAAACCCATATCGGCTATGTGCAAGACAAAAGCCCTACCAGCTGTGCTATCACTTCAACCCCCTATTATTGAATGTCTATCTATGTTTCCTAAATGGAATCTTAGAGACAATGTACCTGTAGAAATATTTACTCACCCACTCCCTGTAATGGGCAATACCCCAAGTCTCCTGTATTATCTTATGTTCCAAAACACCATGAATAGGGCCATAATTTTTGGCCAATCATTATTAGTAAGATAGGGTAGCATTTTCTCTATCATATTTCCAAACAATATTGATAAATATACACATTTCATAAAAACAACATGAACCCTTATAGTTAGCCAAAATTAATTTTTAACATCAGTATAATTTTCCCTCTATTAAAAATAGTTATAATAATGATAATCTAAAATAAAACAAGAAAAACAATATCTTTTTTGGTTTCTGGATCACAACTGAGAGTATACAGGGGGCATTCCCAGTCCAGATCTTGGATCCTGGTGGCATTCAAAGAATCAAGTTCTTTGGGGTCCCATGGATGGAAACTTTTCATTTGTACTGCTGCATTTAATATTTAATTGAGCCAATGCTCTAAAACAACTGTTAGATCTTTTGTAGGGTCAAAAAATCACCTATTTGCCCAGGATTGCGCAGCTAAAATAGAACTTGAGTTAGCATTCTCATTTCTGCCACACAGATGTTAATGCCAATATTTTCCCCGTGTATCTGATCTAGCATTTGGACTTGGACCATTACTGGCACCAGTTAAAGAATGCTAAAGTTCAGTTCTAGCATTTACATAAAACAGTAATAATAAGAGTAGAATAAATATATTTCCCTTCCCTAAAAAAAAAAAACACTTTTTCTTACAAATAGCTCTTAAGAGATTTCCACCTAAACCTGTATTTTCAACTTAGAACATTCACATTTATTAATGCTCTTTTCATTACAGTATTCTAGCTGAATAACTGAATTCCTCACATGTTGTTTCTTGTCCAGAAACAGGATCGCTGGCTTCTTCTCCAAACATAGCATAAACTGTGACTGTATATTCTGTATTGGGCAATAACCCACCCAATTCAACGTTTGTGTGGGCCTCTCCAACCTTCACCTGAAAAGAACACACATAATCAGTTTGCCATGGACATAATAGTAACGATGATCAGATTGGAAGTGCATAAAGGTGAGACAGTGCAGTAAGACTTCATCTCCTCACTCTTCATCAAACAGGGTTTCAGTCAGACTTTCTGCCTCGTGTCACTGCATATTGGGAACAGATGCTACACAAACATAAAACTGAATGTACTCATGCATGCTGTTTGAGGATAATTCTTTACATATGGACAAGTGGCAAAGGCTGCCAGAATCCTAGCGTCCAATATTTGGTCCCAGAAGCGTGCGGGTATAATTGAATCAGAAATGTTTTTTAGAAAGAGTGGGAGCTCTAGGTCAACATGCTGGAGGAAGGCGAGTAGGCATCTTCCACCACTTGGCTAATTCTAACCAGCTGTCTGACTGGAGGCTCTGTTTTTGTTTCAAACCCAGAAGACCTGAACCTATTAATAAAGGCCCTTTCAACAAAGCCCCTTTCCACTAGGATTGCAAATCCCTTGCAGGAGTCAAAAAGAAGATGCCACCTTGATGTCCAATTTGAACATTTTCTCTTCTGATTCTACAATGACACTTCTGATTCTTGGAGTCAGTCATATTAGCCAATATTCTCAGTCATGTGACAACTGAGGGACAACCATGGGACCAGATGGGTTTGGTTTTGTTTGGAAGAAAAAAAATTCTCTGGTGTAGAGTGATAGCAAAGCAGGTAGGGTGCTTGTTTTGCATGCAGCTGACCCGAGTTCAATCCCCGGCACCCCACCTCATATGGTCCCCCCTGAGCATAGAGCCACCAGGAGTAAGCCCTGAGCATAGCCAGCTCTGGCACCAAAAACCATGCAAAAAATTTTTAAAAAAATCTCTAGAGATCATCTCCAGTCATACAATTTCCAGTGTCATTGTCAAAATTTTTAACTTTGAAATATCTCAGCATTTGAAAGTACAAAAATAATGTAATGCACCCTGCTGTTTCCACTACTCAAATTTGATATCAATCAACATGTTATTATACTGGCTTTGCATCTTATTCACTTATTTTGGTTTTGAAATCACACCTGACATTGCTCAGGACTTACTTCTGGCTCTGAGCTTAGAAATCAGTTCTGGACCAGTGGCAGAAGGAAACCATCTGGGATGCCCGGGATTGACCCCAGTCAGTTGTGTGCAAGACAAACACCCTCCCCACCTTACTATCTCTCTGGTCCTTGGATCTTATTTTTAAGCAACTATTTTGTTCATATAAAATGGAAATCCTTCCTCGTTCTTTTTGTTTACCATATTACATTAATGTGCAGCTTTAAAAAACCTAATACATACTTATGATATATCTATAAATAGTATATGGCTCTATGTGTTTAATAAAACTCTAAAATTGGATCATAGCAGCACACCCTTCTTTACAACATTTTCTATGCATGTTGTACTTCAGGTTGACACAGAGAATAGGGCTGACATTGTTCATTTTTTTTTGCTTTTCTTTGTACAAATATATTGCCATTTTCCATGCTTCTAATGATGAAGGAGTCAGCTGTTTGTAACATTTTTGCTCGGACCAAGTAGTTAAATTGAAAAGTCCTTGCTGGATATTTACCTATTACAAATACCTTTAAAAATGCACACAGCTACAGTTTGCTGAAAGGTCAAATAATTCTCCAAGGCAGCTGTACTGGCTTATCTTCCAATTAGCATACCAATTTACATGAGTGATTCTGATTCCACACATGCTCACTAATATGTGATGGTGTCAGACTTAAAAAACTGCCAATCTGTTGGGTATGGGTATGAACTGGTATTTTTTTGTTTGTTTTTTTCCTAGAGATGCTGAAAAACTCCTTAATACTTTTAACAATTTCGTTCAGCCTTAAATCCAAATGGGCAACAGACAGAGAATGATCTCACTATATTCGGCATATAAAGAAATATAGTAGGGGAGTAACAAAGGCCCAAAGGCAATTAAAATAAAGAGCAGAAGAACCCGCCCTTAGTAAGGAGGTTGTCTCTATAGGGGCAGGTCAGGGAAGGGTCCACTACGACAGTGACAGAGGGAAGTGTTCACTCTGGACCAGAACTAGACACTCAAAGGAGGGAGACTGATTTTTATGACGCCCTCTCAGTAAATCAGAAACATTTTTCTAAACCACAGTGCCTAAAAGAGTGGGGAGGGGGGCAGGGGAAGGAAATACTGCCTGCCATAGAGGCAGACTGGGTGTGAGGGTGGGGAAGGAAAAAGGATGTTGGTAGAGAGAAGTGGACACTGCTAAAGGCATGGGTGTTGGAACACTGTAAGCCCCAAACCCAGTCATGAATAATGAATAACACTGAAACTTTGTAACTCATGGTAATTCAATGAAAAAAAATATTTTAAAACATTCAAATAGGCAAAAACTACATATAGTTTTAACCCTAAGTGTCAATCTCCACAGGAAGGTTAGACAATTGATCTCCGAACTGCAATTGGCATGGGAATGGGTGATTGGCCACACCCAGCAGTGCTCAGGGCTTACTCCTAGCTCTGTGCTCAAGGAGCACTCCTGCCAGGACTTGGAAGACCACATGCAATTGCAGGGGTTCACCCCAGGTTGGCCCTGTGCAAGGTAAGCACTTAACTGCTGTACTGTCTCTCTGATTCCTGAGCTACATGTTTTATACTCTCCTCTTGCTTGGTGAAGCCACTTCTAAGTATAACAGATGTTTCCTCCTTAATCCTTGAATGTCTGTATTGCAGTTATTGCTCCATATAAATGAAAAATGAGGACTAAAAGAAATAATATGAAAGTGAAAATTTCATCATTAAGGATGAGTCAGTTCAAATAAAATCGCTGACTCAAAAGGAGAGAGAGAGCAGGATATATATATATATATATATATATATATATATAGAGAGAGAGAGAGAGAGAGAGAGAGAGAGAGAGGAAAAAGAAAAGTGTCTGCCATAGTGGCAGGCAGTGGGACAGGGGTGAGTGGTGAGGGAGGGAAACTGTTACCATTGGTGGTAGGAAAAGTACACTGGTGAAGGGATGGTGTTGGAACTTTATTTGACTGAAATCCAATCATGAACAACTTTGCAAATGTGTATATCACTGTGATTCTTTTTTAAAAAATAAATGGAAAAGACAAAAACAAAAAGCAAAACAAATTTTTTTTAAAAAGTCAGAAAAAATAAAACATCTGAAAAACACTGCCACTCAATTTAGAAAAAAATTTTAAGTCAGTGTATAAAGGGGGAAATAGTCATTTACATGCTGCAGGTAGAAATATATGTAAATAAATTTTTCTGGACTTGTTTGATAATATCTAGTATAAGCCTTAATCATTTTCATATGCTTTGTAAAAGAAACTTAATTTCTAGGAATTTAACCTTAAGACATACTTCGACAACTCTAAAAAGTTAAATGTTTAAAATGTTAGGGGCTGAAATGATTATTCAATGGGTATGGTACTTGTCTTGCACACCAGCCAACCTAGGTTTGATCCCTGGACCCCCAGGAGTAAGCCCTGAGCACAGCTGGATGTGACCCCAAAACAAAAAGAATGTTCATAAAAACATTATTTATACAGAAATCTATGTAAGCCATTAATGACATGATACTAATTAAACATGGTCTTACAAACCAATGAAGCTGTTGAAAATGACTATAAAATATTATTTAATGGTATGAAAAATATTTATAATAAACAAAATGAAACAAAAACTATAGTATTCTGACCCATTGGATTAAAACATGATCTCCCCAAACAATGCCTGGACGCCTGAATTAATCTCTAAGCACAAAGCCATGAATAAACCCTGAACACCATTGGACCATTGGGTGAGGCCAAAACACACACACACACACACACACACACACACACACATATACACACCCCACAAGGAGGGCCTGGAGAGACAGCTCAAGGCACTGACCACATGCTCGGATTTGATCCTCAGCACCACAAAATTTCCCCGAGCACAATGTCAGAGCAGCCCCCAAGCACAGAGCCAGGAGTACTCCACAAACACCACCAGGTGTGCCACCCCCCACCCCCAAAAATAAAGCAGTGAAAAAGAAAAAAGTCATTCACAATTCTCCCAGCAAGAAGAGTCACTGTTAAATGTTAGGTTTTAATAATAACTCCCTGGGCAGGAGAATTGGTAATGATTTTTTTTTCTTTTGCTAGTGCAAACTGTCTTAACTTCATACATTCATTTAGATAGTAAAAAGGTCTATCATGAGGAAGTCGCAGATGTTAGGACAGTCATGGGTTACCTCTTTTTCATCTCCAGCCAGATCCTCCGTGAGAGGCGCATAGAGGATGAGGTAGCCAGATGCCCCGGCCACTGCATCCCAGCTGGCCTTCAGACTGTTCTCAGTTACATCATACAGCTGGAGGTTGGAAGCCATGGGTAAAGCAACTGCAAGAGGAGACATTTTATAAAGTTCAGGCATTGACCCCTGTGCTTGCTTATTTCAAAATGCTATCGCTTCATAATTTTAAAATAAACATAACTCATTTTTTGATAATTTTGCCAGTAATGTTGTGCATACAGCTAGAGAAGTATTTTCTTAGAGGCAAATACAGCAAAATATAAAGCAGGAATATATCTTTGAGTTTCTTACAGTCCACCACTGTGGTGACATATTTCTCTGGGATCCAGTAGAGAAAGGGAGGTCATCCTGACTATTTTTTACCCAACACTAAGCACAGTGTCTAACATGAAGCATCATTAAAAATGGTTGTTGAATAAAGAATCTGTCACTGTCATTGTCCTCCCATTGTTCATCGATTTGCTTGAGCGGGCCCAGTAACGTCTCCATTGTGACAACTGTTACTGTGTTTGGCATATCGAATACGTCACGGGTAGCTTGCCGTGCGGGCGAGATACTCTCGGTAGCTTGCCGGGCTCTCCGCGAGGGGCGGAGGAATCGAACTCGGGTCGGCTGTGTTGTCTGCTTGTAAGGCAAGTGCCCTACCCACTGTGCTATCGCTCCAGCCCGAATAAAGAATAGTTCTTGATATTCTTTTTGAGTTAATGTATATTTTCATTGTAGTAGTTACCACAATAGCCAAGATATTGAAACATCCTGAATGTCCAAATTATGGGTGAAAGGATAAAGAACATGTGGTAGATAGAAACAATGAAGTACCATGCAGCCATAAGACAAGAAAGATTCTTGTGGATTGCTGTGACTTCTACAGCACTAGAGGTTATAATGGTCATCATAATGAAATGAAATAAGTCAGAATCAGAAGAATCAATACCAGATGATCTTGCTCATTCATGACTTGTACAGAAAATAAGGGAATTGACAGTATTAAATAATGACAACCTTCAACCTTGGATTACAGAATTCTGAACAGTGAGCAAAAGGGAAAGGAGGCTGGGGTTCCTGACAGTGGGACTGGAAGTGAGCAGAGAAATTGATAGATGGTCTTGGGCACTTTGATGGTACTGAGTTGTGATAACTGTACATCAAACCTATAAGCATTAACATTATCATAAGCATGTGATCTAGTCTATAATAAATTACATTTTAAAAATTGTTTGCTGAATTTCTTCTTTTTTTTATTCTGTTTTATTTGGGGCCACAATCCTGGTTTTGTGCTCAGAGAACATTTCTAGTGGGCTCGGGGGACCATCAGGGGTGCAGAAGATTGAACCCAGGTTGCACGCAAAGTAAAGGCCCTACCCACCATACTATGGCTCTGAACCCATATGGATGAAATATATGAATGAATCAATGCTCGTCAACACATGCAATCAGAATCTTTGTGAGATATGACTAAGTCAGTAGCCATGGGATCTAAAAAAATAAAATAATAGACAGGAAATGAGATTTGTCATCTTTGAAAACTTGGAAGAGATTAAGGACAAATTGCAAACTCCGGGTTGAAACAATTGTCAATGAAAACCTTGAAATGTTATCTGCTAATCCAAGGCTTGCACAATCTGGCCCTGTCTGCTGTTCTAACCACAGTGTCAGACTTGGTAGCTTTCTGACACATGTGGCTCCCTGTCACACTTCCCTTGGACTGCCTGTAGGACTTCATTCATTGCATTAATTTGTGTACTTGGTTTATATTACCAGCCTTACTAGATTAAAGCTCTCTTAAGGGAAGATATTATCTTTAAGTATTGCTGTAAAGAGAGGACAATACCTGCCTGGAATAAATGCCTCAGTGTATTAGATGATGAGTATCCCAATGACTGGCACATTGTTTGTTGGGGAACAGTTTATCCCCCGACGTGTCCAGGCACATTACACACCGGCTCTGGGCAGATGTGAGGTGAAGGATCACGAGAGCAAAGAGAAACCACTCCGGAAGAGAGCCGATGGCTGTTCACTTTGTTGTCAAATGCTCATATTTTATACAGGGTCCCAACTTAAGAGGATGGTCCAATCACATAAAGTTTAGCATTACTGACCTATGACCTTTTCTACTCTGCTTTGCCCAGACTCAATCCCAATTAGGGCTAGCTACTGCAGTTAGGAATGACTCGCTAAGTGTAAGTGACAATTCTTGGCTCAGAGTAGGTGACAATTCTTGGGGGGTTGGGTGAGACTCAAGGCTAAGGCCAGGATACCTAGTGCTTGTAAACTGTGCCCAGACATTCCCTACTGGGTCACTATACAGGGACAGGTCTTATCTACTATGCTGGGACAGATCTTATCTGCTCTGGCGCCTGTTGCCATGCTCCATAATTGTTATTGTTGTTGCTTTTGTATGTTACTATTGTTCTAGCAGAAACAGGGTGTCACAATCAATTTTTAAGTGTTTATCATATAATTAAAAAATTAATGTTTGAAATAACCAATAGGTGATGAAGATTTTTTAGCTCTTCCCGACTTTCTTTGAGTTTGTGGGTATGTATGTATGATCATGCTTAATAAAGAATTATTAGTATTTGGGAGCCTTTTTTGGGATCAAATTATATGAATAATGTAGATACTTTAATTATGATATAATTGATATCTGTAATAATATAACAAGTAATTCTAAATTATAATTATATAATTGTCACTGTCACTGTCCTCCCATTGTTCATCGATGTGCTGGAGCAGGCACCAGTAACGTCTCCATTGTGACATTTGTTACTGTGTTTGGCATATCAGAATACGTCACAGGTAGCTTGCCAGGCTTTGCCGTGCAGGCGAGATACTCTCGGCAGCTTGCCAGCCTCTCCGAGAGGGGTAGAGGAATCAAACCTGGGTTGGCCGGATTGGCTGCGTGCAAGGCAAATGCCATACCCGCTGTGCTATCGCTCCAGCCCAATTGTATAATTAACATATTAATAATAACATGTAGAGCCAGAGGCATAGTATAGCTAATAGGCTGCTTGCCTTGTGTGTGGCTTACACAAGTTTGATCCCCAGCAGCCCATAATATCCCCCCAAGCCTCACCAGGAGTCATCCCTGAATGCAGAGGCAAGAGTAAGCCCTCAGAACAGCTCAATGTGGCCCTCAAGTCACAAAAAATAAGAGTAATAAAATTTAAAATTGAAACAAGTACCTACACATAATAAAACTATACATTATATATATGAAATTGCATTACATTATACATAAATGCCAAACAATTTTATTAATTGTTTTATTAATAATTTATTAATAATTGCATTAATTGTTTATGTATAGACAATTATGGCTATGAAACTAATCAACTGACAAATTAAGCCCACTTCCTGGGTCATAATATTCCTTTACCAATTATTTGTTTATTAAATGAATACATTATTTCCATTTTCACGCTCTCTCCGCTAAACATATGAGAATTTGATAACATCACCCCCATAATGCAGTTCCAACAAACTGCATCTAAAAGCGTGAACCACTACAGCATATGTCATGATATTTTTTTTGGTGAATTTGATTTAGGATAAACAATACAATCTGAGTTGAATTCTAATTTAGGTGAAGCTGCCTAAGCAACGCATGTATGAAGTTAGCAGTAGGATCAAATTCTATACGTACGTGTAGTTTCACTTCCCCGTAGGGCTTCACTAGCGGTATGGGCATAGACGGCAAAGACAGCTACCTGATACTCAGTTAATGACATCAAGCCCTTCAACACTGTGGAGGACACACTCCCATCCACCACCACCTGTTCAAGGAAGAGATCAAGGAATGAGAATATGCCTAGTTTACCTGGGTAACTGAAATCAAAGAGCAAAAATCTCTCGAGCAAGAACAATCATTAACTATGTTCTTTTCTGTGTCACATCTTCTTTCGCTCTGTGGCAGTCAACTCTGTGAATCCCACCATGCACTGATGCACCTTTTAAGGACTATACACAAAGTGCCTTATTAAGTCACAAATAATGGAAATGGTGCCTCTGCCAGGTTGTCATCCTCATCACATCTATGGAGTAAAAGTTGGCACAAGATTTTTTTCCCCCATAGAGCTTTGAGAAACATTTAAAAGGTTTATTAGGGGCTGGAGAGATAATACAGCAGGAAGAATGTTTGCCTTGGATGTGACCAACCAAGGTTCAATTCCTTGCATCCAAATGATCCCCCAAACACTATAAATAAAAATAATAAAGGCCCTCCCGTTGATCGTCAATTTGCTCGAGCGGGCCCAGTAACGTCTCCATTGGAGACTTTGTTGTTACTGTGTCTGGCATACCGAATACGGTAGCTAGCTTGCCGGGCTCTCCGAGAGGGGCGGAGGAATCGAACTCGGGTCGGCCATGTTGGCCGCTTGTAAGGCGAACGCCCTACCCGCTATGCTATCGCTCCAGCCCCAAACACTGAGAGGAGTAATTCCTGAGTGCATAGCCAGGAGTAACCCCTGAGTACCACGAGGTGTGGCTAAAAAATTTAAAAAGGAAAAAAAAGTCTTATTATTAGGGGCTGGAGAGATAGTACAGAGGTTAGGATGCTTTATTTGCATGTGGCTGACTCTAGTTCGATCCTTGGCATCCCACATGATCTCCTGAGCACCTATCAGGAGTAATTGCTGAGGGCAGAACCAGGAATAACACCTGAGCAGCGCCAGGTGTGAACACACACCCCCAAAATTTTATTAGTCATGAAAAAAATAAAACAAATGGAAGTACTACTGACATTTTAGTTCAGGTGATTTGAACTCCATGACCTACTTCTCAAACACACATATCTGTATCTATAGATATACATATACAAATAGATATAGATATACTGCCATAATTCACTGTCCACTGTCCTCCCGTTGTTCATCAATTTGCTTGAGCGGGCCCAGTAACATCTCCATTGTGAGACTTGTTACTGTGTTGGCATACCGAGTACATCATGGGTAGCTTGCCAGGCTTTGCCATTCGGGAAAGATACTCTCAGTAGTTTGCTGGGCTCTCTGAGAGGGGCGGAGGAATCGAACTTGGGTTAGCCAAAACATAATTTCAGCACAGGTCAGTCAGTATTCTGATCAGTAAAAGGCAATTGCTTAAAAAAATAAGGAGGGAGTAGATGAAATTTTATTTCATTTTTAACATATTTCCTATGAACTGTTGTATCAAAATAAGAAATAGGAAGGAGCCAAAGATTTAACAACAGGTGTACTCCATTTTGCATCCATGTGTTGACCAATCCCTGAAAAATCTGGCATAGATATTTTATGAAGGCTTCTCTGTTACACCAATCTCCACAGCATCCAGGAAACCATTACTCTGGAGGATTAGACTGTATGACCACATAATTTAGAACATACAGACTTCATTAAATCAGAAAGTTCAGACCACTCCTAAAGCAGAAAGAATACATGGAGTCAGGGGTCCTGAAAAAATAATTAATTACTACAGATTCCTTTTGTTTTGAAATGCATTAGATATAAAATGAAAAATGCTAAAATAAATCCAGCTAGAAATGAATGCATGACCAATTGAAAAGGTTGTTTGATGGAAAAGCAAGAAGAGAAAATATAAATACTGTCATCTGGAAGAACAAGATAATTTGATCATTATTTAGAAATCTATTTCAGTCATATAATTTAAATAGTCTATCATAAGAAAATACCTAATCATGCATAGGTATTTTGAGGTTTGAGGAAACGAAAGGAATGTTTCGAAAATATTGCCTCCATATTACCTCGTCTGGTTTTCCACCCCTGGTAGGATGATATACAACTCTATATTTTTGCACTTTTCCTGGGGCATGGGTCCAGTTAACCATAAAGCTTCTGGCAGTGACTTCAGAAATAATCAGCTCTGTAGGTGGTCCAGTGGGTATAAGCGCTGAGGCTAAATTAGAGAAATATGGAAAATGAAACTTTCCACAGGTATTTCATAGAAACCAAGAAAACTCACTTTTAATATTTCCATCTCTAGATATGTTGATTTTGTTATTCATTCATGCATTTTTACAATTGAATATTTCAGATTGTGTTAGGTACCAATCCCTGAGAATACAAACTATAAAAGATAGTTCTTGACTCTAGGAAGCTTTCTTATGGAATGTTAGCAAAAACAGAAATACATTAAGCATGTGCTTGTAAACGAACTCTTATTTTTCCTTTTTCTTTTTTCTTTTATTGGTTTTTAGGACCACACCCAGCTGTACCCAGTGATCACTCCTGGGTGTGTGCTCAGGGATCACTGGGGAATTGGAGGACCATATAGAGTGCTGGGGATAGAACCCGTGTCTGCCTCATGTAAGGCTAGCACCTTACCCGCTGTATTTTCTCTCCAGCTAGAGCTATTTTGTGTACTTTTTATAAAGATTCTCATACTTAATTCTCAACAGCTACTATTACTATTCCATTTTGCAGGTGAAAAAAAATCAAACTATCCTAAAGTTAAATAATCTTCCTGATAATTTAACATCTGACAATAAGTATCAGAGATAGAACTGATATTTAGACTTCCTGACATAAGACACATTATTTTAAACATCAAGACATACAGCCTTAAAAATGTATAGTCGAAGTGACATCTGCACTTGTTTGTTCATTGCAGCACTCTTTTACAATAGACAGAACCTGGAAAAAATCAGAGTGCCCAAGAACAGATGATTGGTTAAAGAAACTTTGGTACATCTACACAATGGAGTACTATGTAGCTATTAGAAAAGATGAAGTCATGAAATTTACATACAAGTGGTACTACATGGAAAGTATCATGCTAAGCGAAATAAGTCAAAAAGAGAGGGATAGACATAAAAAGATCACATTTATCTGGGGGACATAAAGTAACAAAATAGCAGATTAATACCCAAGAATAGCAGAGATCAGTACCAGGAGGATTACTCCATGGCTTAGAGGCCAGCTGGGCATTCTAGGGGAAAGAGCAGCTCAGATAGAGAAAGGAGCACTAAATAAAGGGTGTTTGGAGGATACTCCCAGGATTGGAGCTGCATGTTGAAAGTAGACTATGGACCGAACATGATTGCCACTCAATGCCTCTTTTGCAGACCACAACACCCAAAAGGAGAGAGAGAACAAAGGGGAATGCCCTGCCACAGAGGCAGGGTGGGATGGGGGGATGAGGGTGGGAGGGATACTGGGATCCATGGTGGTGGAAAATGGGCACTGGTGGAGGGATGGGTATTTGATCATTGTATAATCGAAACCCAAGCACAAAAATTTGTAAGTCTACAATTCTACCTCATGGTGTTTCACTAATAAAAATATAAAACAACAACAACAACAACAAAAGACATACAGACTTTATACTGAGCACTTTAACAAATGGCTAATATCTAAAAATAAAAAGATAATTGAAAGCAATTGACATGTTTGCTACGAGTTAGACACTATGTAAGCACTTTGTGTGGGTTATACACATGCTAACGCAAGTAATAGTATAAAATATTTGTGAGTTATAAAGTCCAATCAATGCCTTTGAACTTTAAGATTTTGTTTTTGAGCCACACTTGGTTATACTTGGTGGTTACTCCTGGCTCTGCACTCAGAAATCACTCCTGGTAGTGCTCAGGGGACAATACAGAATGCCAGGGATCAAACCTATGTTGACCGCATGAAAAGTAAGTGCTTACCTTCTATATTATTGCCTGTCCCAGAACTTTAAGGTTTCTTATCTTCAGAGATTACTTGTCCAAAGAATCTTTAGCAACATGTAATAATGTAATTATTGAATACCAAGTATGCTAGTCACTCTCTTATCAGAAACCACCTAAGAGAGTTTATGGTTAAAGTTGAGCTCTAAAGTTTCATTATGAAGTCAGAGATATTTCTTCAAAACTAGATACAAACACAGTAACAAGAAGTCTCACAATGGAGACGTTACTGGGCCCGCTCAAGCAAATCGATGAACAATGGGAGGACAGGACAGATACAAAAAATAGAAACAAACAGCACTGCACTGTAGCACTGTCCTCCCGTTGTTCATCGATTTGCTCGAGTGGGCACTAGTAACATCTCACAACAAATTGTGAGACTTGCTGTCACTGTTTTTGGCATATCGAATACATCACAGTTAGCTTGGCAGATTTGCCATGCAGGCGACATGCTCTTTATAGCTTGCTGGGCTCTCTGAGAGGGGCTGAAGAATCGGCCATGTGCAAGGCAGACGCCCTATCCACTGTGCTAAAAAAAAAAAAAAACCCCACACTCTAGCTAAAGGACCAAGAAAGAGTGAGCCTACCAAGACAGAAATTTTAGGCAACACCTGCTCTATGCTAGAAAATATCACCAAAATCACCTGTGGGTCTACCCTCACTCACACCAGTGAAGGCCAAATGGGAAGCCAAGAGTTCCACCTGGCCTCTCTGGCTCCTGATCAAGCCGCTTAATGGCCATAATCCCAGAGACTCAGAAACAAATATCGGAACCCAGTGCTTTTGGCAGAAATGCGTCCGGTCACTGCAGTAGGTTACCAGCGATGGGCCACCCCAGGTGGGAACGTGCCTTGGCCTGTTCCCCCTGGCAGCCCGGTTGCTACCATCCTCCAGAGGCCACTGGACAGTCAGGTTTGGGCCTGCAGTGATGAGACATGTGGAGCCTCACAGGATGGGGAAGGAATCGGCCCATGAACGGCCTCTCTGGCTCCTAATCAAGCTGCTTAAAGGCTATGATCCCAGAGACTCAGAAATAAATCTCGAAACCAAGCAGCTTTTGGAAGAAATGTGTTCGGACCCCGCAGTAGGTTACTGTCGCCGGGCCACCCCAGGGGGGAAAGGGTGCTGTCCCTCCACCTGCTCCCCCCTTGGCGGTTCAGTGGCTGCCATCCTCCAGAGGCCTTTGGACAGTCAGGTTTGGGCCCACAGTGATGAGATACACAGAGCCCCACAGGATGAGGGTGGAGCCGGCCCTTTCATCTCCATCCCAACAAGACCCCGAGTCGCTGCCCACGATTGGCCTCTCTGGCTCCTGATCAAGCTGCTTAACAGTCATGATCCCAGAGTCTCAGGAACAAATCTCGGAAGCCAGCAGGTTTTGGCAGAAATCCCTCCAGATTTAAGCATTGAAATTTCGGAATTTCAAAATCACGTGGCCACTACTCCAGTCATGTGACATGATATGTTATCCATAACCAGCAATAGAAAACAAATTGTCTACTGTTGCCTTTTCAGCAGGTCTGAGTGTTGGGGTAAAATCCCAGATAATGATGGTGGGTCTGGGTCAAAATATTGAATGCAATCAAAGTAGAGAGAGAGTAATGTGGAAATCATCTGTCCCACAGGTAAGGGGAGAGTGTGGGATGGGGGTATACTGGGGTTTTTGGTGGTGGAGAATGGGCACTGGTGAAGGTACGGGTGTTTCATTGTATGACCGAGACTTAAACCCAAAAGCTTTGTAACTGCTCTCACGGTGATTCAATAAATAAAATTATTTTTTTTAATAAAATTATTTTTTTAATAAAAGAATGAATCAAAAAGGAATTTTAAAATAGGTTTAGTAAACTCCAGGAAGAAAAGATAAAGAAAACAGAAAAATAAAAACCAGAGAAAAGAAACATGAAACAAAATTAAATGCTTATGTTCAAATATATAAACAACTATATTAAATGTAAATGGTCTGAATATGCCAATTATTTGATTTTTTGTTTGGTTGGTTTTGATTTGGGGCCAGACTGGAAATCAAACCCAGAGCACTCTACTGCTGAAATATATTCCTGGCTTGTTCTGAACATAGCAATTAAAAAGAAGATCGAGTTTAAGAAATATATATATAATAAATTTACACTTAAAAATATGAAAGTTTGTTGAAAGTAAACCCAAAACATCATGTAAACATTAATTAAAATTAGTGGGACTCACTATATTAATGTCAGATGAGACTCAAAATTAACCGAGACAGAGAGGAACATTACATAATGATAACTGGTAAATACACCGGAAAAATAAGAGCATCCTACATGTGCATGCACCAGACAAAAGGGTTAATACTATAAAGAACAAAAACTAATCAAATAACGGGGCAGAGAGACTATGCAGGTAAGACTCTTGCCCTGCTGACTTGGGTTCAATCCCCAATACCCACTATGGTCCCCTGAACACTGCCAACAGTGATCCTTGAGCACAGAGTCAGAAGTAAGCCCTGAGTACTATTGGATGTGCCCCCAAAAATAATAAATAAAAATAAAAGACTTTTTTCCCAGAGGGAGAAACCCATATTCTCTCTTGAACATGTACTTTTATCTCTCTCCCCTCACATTTTTCTAAATAAATTTCTCTTAAAAACCATTTTGCTTCCCTAAAAATTAATAATGAACTAAGAGTTGTAGCACTGTAGCACTGTAGCACTGTCGTCCCATTGTTCATCGATTTGCTCGAGCGGGCACCAGTAATATCTCCATTGTGAGATTTGTTGTTACTGTTTTGGGCACATTGAATACAACACGGGGGGAGCTTGCCAGGCTCTCCGAGAGGGAAAGAGGAATCAAACCCGGGTCAGCTGCAAACAAGGCAAACACCCTACCCACTGTGCTATCATAATAAATAAAAGATTAGAGATGGATAATTTTTACATCTATCTCTCAGTATTGATAAGAAAAAACAGACAGAAAAGACAGTAAGAATATAGAACCATATGAATGAACTGATTCACTGTAAGCATAAATCTTTAAGGTTAAGAAATAAAGCAAAGATGTACATTTCATCATGTTTGCTAAATATAGTACTGGAACTATGTCCAAACATAGTCTATGAAGTAAGGGAAGAGAAGGAAATAAAATGCTTAAACATCAAAAGGAAACAAATAAGATGCCTATTTGCAAGTGGTATACTATCTATGTAGAAATCACCACCCCACCAAATTAGAGAAAATTATCTAGCACTAATTTACAAGTTCAACTAAGATCACAGGGCACAAGATAAACACAGAAAAAAATAATAATGCCTATATATGCCTATTATGCTTACAATATATAGACAAAATTTAAAAACACAATTAAAATAACTTAAAAGAAAATTAAATATTTAGATATAAACAGAAAAATCCTATACAGGACTTGTATAGAACTTATATCCTGAAAACTACAAAATTCTGAGGAAATACATCAAAGATTATCAAAACAAATGCAGAGATTTACCATATTCATGGATTAGAAGAAGCAACATAATTAAGAGGCCTATTCTTCCTAAATTGCTATTTATTGAGAATTTACTTAAAGCAAGTCCTACTAAAATCCCAACATTTTAGGAAAATAAATATTCTAGTATTTATATCAAGAGACAAAGAAAGCACTTGGTCAAAACAATTTGAGAAAGCATAATGTAGTGGAACAACTGTATAATCTTAAGATTGTACCATATTGGAAGAGGGGAAGACATAAAGACTCAATAAAACAGGATAAAAAACTAAGATACAGACTTACACAAATCTAGCTGACAAGTACTTAACTCAGTATGACTTGATTCTAAAGAGATAGCATTTTCAGCAAGTAGTGTTGGCATAATATACATAAGTAGACAAAAGGAAAAAACAGAAAAAAATGAGGCATGCATTTAACTTCAATTATTTTACAAAACTTAGCCTAGACTGTGGGTTTAACTGTAAAGTATAGAACTGTTAGAAGCAATAATATAATGGGTAGGGTGCTTGCCTTCCACACAGTTGACTGGTCAATCCCTGGCATCCCATAAGGTCCCTCAATCCTGTCAGGAGTGGTATCTGAGTGCAGAGCCAGGAGTAAGCCCTGGGCACCACCAAGTGTGGCTCCAAAACAATGAAAATTTTTTAATTTTTTAAAAAATAAATGATGAAAAAAATAAATGATGAAGTAATTCAAAGTCAAACTCCTTCGGGATTGGCAAAGAGTTTCTTAGAGTAGATAACAAAATTTCTAACCATAAAGTGAAAAAAATGATAAATTTTTATACCTCAATGAAATTAAACCATTTTACTCTGCAAAGTCTTTGTTGAAAGGATAAAAGAACAAGCACAATCTGAGAGAAAATGTTGCATACCACAGATCAAAAAGGAACATCAATAGGTCTAAAAGATCGGGTACAGTAATTTTCTTTGCACATGGCTGACCCAGGATGATCCCTCTCACCACATATGGTCCCCCAAGACTTGCCAGGAGTGATCCCTGAGTGCTGAGCAGAAGTAAGCTCTGAGTACCACTTGGTGTGAGCCCCCAAACAACAGAAAATCATATTATTTACCTCGGTACAAATTGAAAATGCTCATAATTCAACTATTCTAATTAGAAAAATGGGCAAAGACATGAGCAAACATTTCACCAAAAATGAGATACAGATGCAAAAGAAACATGTGAAAAGACATTTAAGTTGATTAATCATCGGGGGGAAATTCCAAAACTACAAGGCAAGATCACTACAAGTCTATCAAAATGACTGAAATGAAAAAATAGTCACCACCACAAATGTTGACAATATCTAAAAACAGATCACTTGAACTTGACTGGTGGGAACATCAAATACTTCAGCTATGTTCCTTGGAGGAATTAAATAGAGGAATATAAGCCAATGTGGCTCTAAAGAAATATTAGGAAGAATCCTTGTAAAGATGGGAAGATTCTGTATGTACCTCGACCATATTGCTGGGATTTGTACTGTGGTTTAAAATACGTTATCCTCTGCAGCCAGAAGAAAGAACAAAGTAATGTAATTTGCAGTAACATGTGTTGACTAGAGGATATGATGCAGAGTGAAGTCAATCAGGAGGAAAGGGATACATACAGAATGATCTCTCATGTTTGGGATTAAAGATATAAAGCAAGGTAACCACAAAGTTCTAAAAGCAATACAACTGGATTTGGTTTGCCCCTCATGCCAATTAAAAGTTCATATTTCACTTAACCTATGGAAGAGACCTGACAGAATTAGAAATCAGAAATGAAGACCATGCGGTGGAGGGATGGGTACTTGATCATTGTGTGATTGTAACCCAAACATGAAAGCTTGTAACTACCTCATGAGGATTCAATAAAATTAAAAAAAAATGTTTTAGAATTAGCCCAAAAGTTGACTGACTGGGCTTTCTCAATCCATATATTATCATAAAATTAAAAGTCCTAGTTGCATCTTAAAAAATGAAAATTAAAACCACATTCAATAATATTTGGAGGCATGCGAAGAATTCTATTTGTGGTGATAATAAAGCAAACATGATTTCAGAGGAAGAAACATTTTATTGAATACTTCTAAATAAATTAATTGCGTGATACCAGAAACATATTTTTCAGGGGCCATAGATAGTGTTATAGTCTGGGTCATACCTGACAGTCCTTAGGGTTAGCTCCAGATGTGGTGCAAATGAATCATTCCTGGTGATGATCTAGGGACCATATGCTATATGGGGGACTAAGTTGGGGTCAGTTATGTGCATCTTAACCTCTATACTACATTTATGAATCTGATTTAGTTTTTGATGTTTATAATTTTACTTATTTCATCATGAAGGTACTGGCAGAGGGACAAAGCCACGCGGGTTCTGGGGCCGAGACCTCCCAGCCTACTCGAATTGGAGTCGAGCATCTTCCACCCAGATCCTCCAAATTCCAGTAGGCGGGGGTCACACCCACCACCTGGCCCCCTGGCGCCATGTAATCCCATCAGCGGCCAAGACTCAGAGACTATAAAATCCAGATTCCGGACGAGAACAGTGCAGTCTCTGCCCCCGCGCCTGGGTGTTCCTTCCCGGAGTCCCTTGGAGGGGAGCGGGTTGAGCTTTCCTCCCCGCCCCGACCAGGGCTACGGCAGCCGAAGACCTCCAGGACCAGCCACCACCATGCTGAGACCCCTCTCTGCACACATGAAGGTACTGGCAGATGGACAAAGCCATGCGGGTTCCGGGACCTAGACCTCCCAGCCTACTCGAATTGGAGTTGAGCATCTTCCACCCAGATCCTCCAAATTCCAGTAGGCGGGGGTCACACCCACCACCTGGCCCCCTGGCGCCGTGTAATCCCATCAGCGGCCAAGACTCAGAGACTATAAAATCCAGATTCCGGAACCGCACGGCCGCATTCGCGGCCGCGCGACATCTTAACAGAACTTTTTTTTATGACATCTTATTGTCTCATTCCTACTTTGGACAAACTTGCAGGCTATCGAATGTAGCCTGCCCACAGGGCAGAGTCTGGCAAACTCCCCGTGGCGTACCAAATATGCCAAATACCAGTAACAATGATGGGTCTCATTCTCCTAAATAGCCTTGAATATAATCTCAGGGCTAGGATGAAAGAGACGTTACTGGGGCCTGCTCGAGGCAATCGACGAATAACAGGATGATGAAATGAAATGAATGAAATTTCATCTGAAAAATAATCCTAATAATTTACAAAAATCATTGTAAGAAGAAAAAATTTCAAAGTACTGAACATAATGCTTTGAATCATATTCAATAAGTATTTTTTCAAGTGATTGAGGATTAAAATTACTTTCTATGGCTTTGTTGATGGCATTGGTGTTGGAACATTGTGTGCCTGAAACGGAATTATTACTTTACAAATCATGCCTTAGTAACAAATAATGATAAATATATAAAAATAAATAAAAGCAACACTATTGGAAAACAGATCTACATAATTGGTTGTGGGAAACTGGCTGAAAGGGAGGGTTGTTGGGGTCATTAAGGACATTAAGGAGGTACACTGGTGATGGGTGGTGGGTACACTGGTGATGGGTGGTGTGATGGAATAATGTACATGGGAAATCATTACCAACAGTGTTTTACTCCGCAAAAGCCCAATAAATAAAAAACAGAAAGATATTTTAATGACATTTCATGATCATTAAAATCAACAGATAAAGCAAACACAATCTCCCTCTAAAATGTTTCTTACCATTTTCAGGTAATCCAGTTATCTCAAAACCTGAAGTTTAATTTTAAAAAAGAAAGTGTTTAATGATTACCGTATGGAACCTTCTTCCAACAAAGGCTGCCAACTCACTTTTTACCTTGTATAGTTCAATGGCTCACATTATAGAGTAAAGGATTCTACTGAGAAAGTCAGGAAAAAGGAGAATTTTCATACCACCCTGAGGTTTTTGTAGGGGTAACATCCTAGAACACAAACAACCACTCTGGGCCACACCCTTACCTTTGATCTCCTTGTCCTGTTCTTCCACCCTGGAGCACACAGTCCGGGTCAGGCTCTCCACCACTGTGTGCATGAGGTCGAACTCAGCCACGTTGTACACGTGGGTGCTGTCTGGCTCTGAGGCGATCTCCTGCAGCTCGCTCTCATCTGCGTTTTTAACTCCTAGCGTGAAGGACAACAGGCATCAGGGCTGACAGTCAGGGCACTTTGTCAAAAGACAATCACGAGCCTAACTTGAGTATCACTTAAAGAAACCTTGGCAAACCTTTGGCGGTGTTTTTTCAAAGTCACTTTCAGAATCTCTCGTAAACGATCACATCTGTTTGTTCAAAGTTTATCTGTTTAATAGGGTCACACCCTGCATTACACATCACAACTATCCGCTTTAGAAGGTTATAAAATAAGAAATACTACTGACTTCCAGGTAATTGTCAGGACAACATCAGGATAAGTTCGCCTAAAGTTTTGTTTAAAACGTACCCATTCATTAGTAGTAAAACCCGAGAGTAAACATATAAAATTAATCATCCATTAGTTTTAAGACTTCTACAAGAATTTTATTTGTTAGACAAAAGGGTAGTAAAATAAAAAATAATTCTATCTCTCTGACATTTCTTTCCCAAAGGATATCTAAATAGCTCCAAAATGCACAGCTGGATCTGTATCCACAATAATAAAATAACATGAACCCATGATGAAGCAACAAACCTAATGTCAATAATTTGTTCCATGACATTCTATTGAAACAAACAAGTTTATAGGCTGAAGAGATAGTGCAGAGTAAGTCCTTTGCCTTGCATGCAACCAACCTCAGTTCTATTCCTGGCACCACACATGCACCAACACCTCCAGCAGGAGTTACTCCTGAGCACGGACCCAGGAATAGACCCTGAGCACCACTGCTGGGTCCTAAAAACCAATTCCCTCTCCTCCAAAAAAAAAAAAGAATATCTATCTCTCTTTTTCTCTGTGTCTCTCTCCCTCACTTCCACTCTTCCCATTTACCCCATGCATCTCCATCATCTTCTCAGACAAGAGTTTGACTTCTAAAAACAGCATGGAAAAGAGAAGAAACTGCCACCATGATGTGAAAGGAATATGTCACATGAAGATTTTGCCTGCATCATCTTTGTACCCCCGCACCTACCACAATGCCAGGCACAAAGCAAATAGGCAAATCCTCCTTGAATGAAGCACTGTTTAAACCAAAATTTAAGTAAAAAGTCTAGGAATAGGTTAGAGAATTTTCTTGAGCTTTTTTTTTGGGGGGGAGAGGGATAATTCATTTATTGATAACTTCAAAAGATGTATAGTTACAGTGTTGGAATGTTAACAATTAAATTTGAATTAACAAAGTAACGTTGTCATATGATTTGTTATTAGTTTATTGTCCATTATCACGTCTAAGGATGTGCTGGTAAATGTTTAACAGTCAGATTCCTGCACTGAATGTTGTAATGTTTGCAATGTTCACTGATTCTTCTGGTATAAATACCCGCATCTCAGTTGATTTCAAACTGCTAATACAAACTCATAGAAAGTAAACTTGGAAGAGAGATACACAATTGGTTCTTTCAAATTAGTATGTCTTGGTCCCATACACCACCAAAATAAAAACACCACACATAGACACATACACACACAAAATAATAAGGATATAATCAGTGAAACCAAGACTGAAATATAATATAAAATACAGCCTTCATTTCCCCCCTAAATTTCCTTTCGATTTCTTCTTTGAATGGAATAGAAAGCCTTTATTAAAATTATTTCAAATTGCTTTTATCATAGTAAAACTTATTTCTCCTACTTGAATAATTTTGATTATTTTTCATTGTTTTCTTTATATTTTAGCACTGAAAATATTGCCACTCTGACACTTACTATAAAGCACTGGGTTGATTCTGAGAATAGAAAGATGCAGAAGATAGCCTTGCCCTTTAGAAAGAGTCTAGAGTCACTAAAGGAGTAAGAAAAAGGAAGGGAAAGGAGAAAACAGCTACTATAACCATTTTCTGACTTCTGTAGCTTTTCCCTGATGGGCACTGACAGGCATTAGTAGGAAATAGTGTCTAAATAAAGAACTAATCAGAAATGTATTCTGATGAAATAAAAATACATATAAACAGAGAAATTTTTATGACCTGTTTCTAAATGAGAGAAATGTGAAAAATATACATTGAGGAGATAGATAACTGGGTTTACCAGTAGTCTGAACATTAGAGGATATTTCTAAATTATAGATTCTAGGTCTTTCACAGGCTAAGCATCTGTTTGTAGTATCATGAATGGTATTCATATCCAGAATAGATGTTATACTCAGAAATAAAAACATACCTCATAGTTTGGCAAAACATTATATCATATTTGGAACAAATGCAAGAAGGTGAATTAATTTTAATTGTCCTACATTAAACAAAGAGCAATTAAATATGTAAAACACAGTGAAACAGACCATTCATAAGAGTGAATATTAAATGTCTTCAAAGCACTATTAGGAATTTACTGTGGCATTTTATTTGTATTTCAGTGTTACTTTGCTGTAGCATTTTCACTTGTATTTCAGTGTTACTTGGAAATCAGATTTTCTTTCTGCCAAGAAAATGTCAGTCTCTACTAAACAGAAGAATTTCCCACTGCCAAAGAAAATGTAAACATTTTCATTGAAAGCAAAGTTGCATCATCTAAATATTTTGCAATGTTTCTGAATATGTGTCTATGTACAGCTTTTTGAGCAAGAATTATACCTTACAAAGGACTGGCTTCAAAGAAATAATACTGTCTGAGCTTTATGCTTTCATTAAGTAGCATAGGATCTTAATTCCTTAATAAGATTATTTCTCCCTATACTATAAGAAAAAATGGTAAATTAATTTCTCCCTATTCTACCAGTGAGATTCATTTTTAGATTATCAGTGAGGAAATGATATTAAGGAGAAAATACTAATTAGAAGTGCCTACTTCTAATTAAAACAACTACCTGAATTGAGCAAGCTACTGATACGTTTTATATGGTATCTCATACAATAGGAACATGATACTTACCATCACTTACACTTAAATTTTCTGAAACTTGATAGTTACTTTATTTTCAGTTGAGACAATACTGTTCTATTTCAAATGTTTTAGAGTTGAGTGAAGGTCACATGACTGTGTACTAGAATTAGAAATAAAATCCTGACTTGCCAAAAAGTGTACTTTTCATTACAAATTGGTTTAAGTGGTTTTTGCCTTTGTTGAAATAGAACCATGAATAACACTTACCTATGGCAAATAGTTCTACACCAGACTCACGGAGGTTTCTGGATGGAGGAATAATATCATCTTGGGACTTTCCATCTGTGATTAAAATGCCAATTTTGGATACTCCCATTCTTGCCCCTGCTTCTGGCTTAAAGCTATTTTCAAAAATGTAGTTCAAAGCAAGACCTGGAAAGAAAAAGGAAAAAAAATTATATAAATAATCCATTGCTAATAAAAACCCTCTCAACTGTAAACTCTGTAACTAAGAATGAGTAACTTATTTTCCTAAAAGGGTTTTTATTAATGTGAACTTACACTTTTATGATGAGCTTTTTCCTTGAAAGATCCCATGAGAAACCCCAATTGACCAGAACAGAAGTAAAAGCAATAACTGAATAACTGACTCTTCATTTCAGAAACCAGAATTTTATAAAGAATAATGAACCATGTCTCCAAAGGAAGTCTAACCTGTATAATGTAGAATGAAGTTAGAATACCCTCACCGAAATGATAATCCCAATACTATTACTGTGCTTTCAATTTTGCAAAGTTAATTTTTAACTTCTTTAGAGACAGTGGGGCAGATCCAAAATGACAACTGACTCCCAGATACTTTTCAAATATCCTTTTTCTTTCAGGAAAGAAAAATAATTTTTGAAGTATTATTTTAGTATTTGAATTTAATTTTATTATTAGCTATACACTCATTAGGTTATGATTTAAATGGCAAAGTAATGTTCGTGACTTCAGTATTTTACTTTAAAGTCAATCAAAGGGTCTATACTCCTTCATTGGAGCATGTATAGATCATGCTTGTGGAAGGAAACAGTGAGCATGTGCTAGGATTCAATTTTGTCATGATGCCTTATGCCCTAGGCCATGTGTAATTGTCATCTAAACAGTCTTACATTTCCCATTTGTCTAAACATTTAGCGAGCTAAAGATTCTCTAATATTTTCATGATACTGAGTGATTCCAGAACGTGGTCAAAAGAAAGACCTTCCTTGAAAAAAAAGACCAGAATTTGTTCTCGCTTAAATAGAAAAGTAGCTGGATGAGAAAAGAGGTGAAAGGAGAGAAGGGAAAATTAAGTACAAAGGTTAACATGGTCATGGAGAGCTTGATTGCTTGATTGCTGTCAATCTCAGGAATCACTATCTTGTCTTCAAATCCAATATAATGCTCCTCCAGGAAATGACATTACGTTATATAGGCGAGAAAGAGAGAGAGAGAGATAAAGAGACACAGAGAGACTCAGAGAGAGACACAAAGAGAGATAGACAGACAGACAGAGAGGCAGAGACATAGAGGTCCATTGTAACTCTTTTTTCTTTTTGAACTGTGATTTATGATAGTGTGAATATCAGTGTATTCGTCATATTATGCATTTGGGCCACACCCACCACCACAGTGCCAAGATAGAAGGGCTGGAGATATAGTACAGTAGGGAAGGCGCTTGCCTTTCATGCAGCAGACTCGGGGGGTTCAATCCTCAGCATCCCATTTGGTCCAGTTTGCCAGGAGTGAGTCCTGATTGTAGAGCCAGGAGTAACCCCTGAGCACAACTGGTTGCAGTCACAAAACAAACAAACCAAAAGTGCCAATATACTTCCAGCACGGGTCCTAGGTCTCTTCTCAACTCTCTCCTCCCCCCAACTCCATCCCAGAGATTCAGTTTCATTGGCAGAATCTCAGAAACTCTTTTCATTAGTCAGTTTACTCCATTATTATTATTATTATTATTATTATTATTATTACTTTACTTTTTGGGTCACACCCAGCAATGCACAGGGGCCACTCCTGGTTCTACACTCAGGAATTAGCCCTGGCGGTGCTCAGGGCACCATATGGGATGCTGGGAATTGAACTTGGGTCGGTTTTGTGCAAGGCAAATGCCCCACCCGCTGTGCCATTACTCCAGCCCCTGTTTACTCCCTTATTATGTTTCTTTACATTCCACTTAAAACTGAGATCACTTAGCATTTGTCATTTTCCATTGGACCTCCCTCACTCAGCATGATACTCTCTCTCTTTCCATCCAAACAGCAGCCAACTGCAAAATTCCATCACTTCTTATAGCTGCATAGTATTCTATTGTGTACATATACCACAATTTCTTTATCTATTCATCTGTTGTTGGGCACTTAAATGGTTTCTATAGCTTGGCTATTGTAAATAGCACTTCATGAGCAAAACTTGGAAAATATCTTTTTAATTAATGTTTTTGTGTTCTCAAGGTAAATGCCAAGGGAGCTGGAGCAATAGCCATTTGCCATTGTAGGCCATTTGCCTTGTAGGCAGCTGACCCAGGTTTGATTCCCAGCATCCCATGTGGTCCCCCAAGCACTGCCAGGAGTAATTCCTGAGTACTGAGCTAGGAGTAACCCTTGTGCATCACTGGCCAAAAAGCAATAAATAAATAAATAAATAAATAAATAAAAGATAAATGCCAAAGAGAGGAACCTTGGGTCATATGGAAGTTCCCATTATTATTATTTTTTTTTTTGAGACATCACCACCAGCGAATGAGGATTCCTTTTTCACTGTGTTTACAAGTTTGAGGATAGAACCATCAAAACACTTCATCTACCAGTTCAGTCAATGTAGCATGTTAAATCTAACCAAACAGCCAAATGAAGTCAGTGAGATATCATGCTAGAAACATGAAGTGAAAAAAAACTTACCTGTAAGTGTATTTCCTCCCTTGTATGGTAAATTTCGGACAGCTTCAATCACCTCATCTTTTGTGCTAAAGGCATTCAAGTGCCATTCAATTCTGGGGTCACCACTGTATTGCGCAAGACCTATAAAAGAATGAAGAAAAATGCTGAAATGAGAGGTGGCGCAAAGATTTAGAGAATGATTCCAGAAACAAAAGTGATAAAGGGCCTGATTATTACTATATATACTAATTTTCTCTAATGCATATGACTCCCCAAGCACTGCTAGGTGTGGCCTGGGGGCCTAGAGGATGGCTGCAGTGGTTTGGGTGACCCCTGGGACAACAGGGTCAGATCACCCAATCCTCAGTTCCTCACATTGTATCACTGGCCTGGTTAGTCAAACATCACCCAGAGAGGTCCCTGGGAACTCCTGAGCATTGCTTCAGATTGTCTCTATACCAACACTGCCCCCCAGCAAAGTGAGCATCCAATCACGTGTCTAATTTTTTTAATTTTGTGATTACAGGTAATATGTCTAGATTTTATTTTTATTCTTAAATGAGTAATTTACCTTATTGGCTATTTAAAGTTTACATTTGCTCGAGCGAGCCCAGTAATGTCTCCATTGGAGACTTTGTTGTTACTGTGTCTGGCATATCGAATACTCTCGGTATAAAGACTCAGAAATTAGCAGTTTTTAAAGAAATTTTGGCTAGAATAATCTTAAAAATTTTGGCTAGAATAATCTTACAATTCCTCATGTATTGCTTGGAAACCAACTGTTTCCCAGAACCTCCAGATAAAAACTAGGGCTGTTGGATGCCTTGATTTTAGCAGAATATCCTGACAAGTTTGCCAGGACTTCTCACCCAAATTTGCAATGCCTGTGCCACGCAGTTCATGCCACCATGTAAGTCAGTGATAGAAGATGGTCACAGGTGACCTTTGAGAGTTTGAGATCAGACGCATTTGGGGAGTTTCTCTCCATGATCACTATTTTTCATGGGTGACTTCGTTGATAATCACTTATGTTCCTTAGCCAATCATAATGATTCCCAACCGGATCTTATTTCCTGTCACTGTCAATCAAATAAACATGCACCCAAAAATAGGGGTTTGAGTTTTTGTTTTTGGGGGGCCACACCCAGAGGTTCTCAGGACTTGTTCTTGGCTCTATTCTCAAGCATCACTCCTGGCAAGGGTCTGGGTACCATAAGTGGTGCCATTAATTAAATGTGCACTGACCATACTCACGGATGATTCCCGACCCGTATAATTATCACTCCTGCCCTCACAAAACTGATACTTAGAAACCTTAGAAATGTATAGATCCCATGAAAACTTAGTTTTTTTGTAGAATCACGACTTTTAACTATAAGGTTGAAAGTAGTGATATGCATTTTCGGTAAGCTATGTGTTATAAGCTTTTGTTGTACAAGCAGTCAAAAGCTAGACACTTTAAGCTTTACTTTTCTATGTAACTGTTTATAGGGAAAATGTATATTCTTTCTATAAGTATTCTATTTCTACTTTATATTTTATATTTCTATTAAGAGAAATATAAAATATTTCTATTTTATAGAAAATAAAAATACTCTTTTTAATATCCAATATTTGAATTTAACATTTCACCCTTTTCATCTATTTCCTTTAAGTAAAAAGTAAACTTCTATCTGATAAATCATTTGGGGAGGGAGAATTTGTTGAGCCATACCTTGTGGTGCTGCATTCCAGAGCTCACTGACAGTGTTCAGGAAACCATGTAATGCCAGGGCTAGCATCCAGGTAGGCCATATGCAAGATAACACTTCTATTATATCTCTCTGACCCCTGATAAATTCTCAAGCCAATTGGAACTTTAAATATTTGTCAATAATGGAACAATTATTGTTATTAGGGAAAGAAGATGTTTTCTATACAGAAAAATTTTAATGTGTTCAACAGCAATAACAACATCATAGCAAAAAGTGAGTTGGACTACTTATTGATCCAATTATGCCCATCTGGTAATCTCACAAAAATGGAGACTATAGTTCTGAAAACTGCTATGCAAAGAATTTTGAAATTTCTTAAGAAGCTTCTCAGTGGTTCTACACGAGGATAGCAGATTCCCATTCCCTGGAGAAGACATACCAATCCGTGTCTTCTCTGAGCCCACGTTGAATGCTGTTACCAGGTTTTCCAAGAAAAGTCGAACCAGTCTGAAGTTGAATCTTCCAATACTCCAAGACCCATCCACCAGGATTACAATATCAGCAATAGCTGAAGTTTCACAGAAAAATTTCACTTCTGAAAAGTACAAACCAGAGAATTATCTGTTACTCCTGGAAAAAGTGTTTACTTAAACATCTTTCAGAGAGCTCACTGTGAAGAATATGATGAAATTTCTATTAAAGCAGTCATAGTTTTACAACCTTTCCCTGGAATGCGTTTTCATTAGGAAAAAAAGTAAATGTGGTAACAGCAGCAGGGCCAGTGTTCTGGAAAGAGTTAGAGAAAGACTGGCAGATTCATGCCAGCCTGGAAACATCTGTGTATTTTAGCCAGTGGTGTCTGTGCAAAATCATCCAGCTTTGAGGTTTTCATCTGTCAATTCTTTCCAGGAAAGTTCTCAGCAACACCATGTGGGAGAGTCCACAGAGATAGGAAGATGGATAGATAGAGGCACCTCTCTCATCCAGATAAGAGGTTACAAGAGAGAAATCTGGTCTTTCTGGATGAAGAAAAAGGTAGTGCCTCGCATTGAATGCAAGAACCATACACACAAACCTTGACTAACATAGAAACGGTTTGTGGATATAGAAACTGGGAAAAGAAACCAAGTAGTCCCCTAATTCACATTCTTCTTCACATTGTATACTTGTTACAGTAATATTTTGTTTCTAAATAACTGATTTAGTTGAGATTGCAGTTGGGGCCCATGTTGGAAGCTCAAGGGCTATACTGGGTTCTGTGCTCAGGAGTGACCCTTGGCTGTGCTAGTGTATCAGATGTGGTGTCTGCAAGGGAAGTGCCTTGTCCTATCTCTCCTACCCCAAAAATAGCTAAGGAGGACTCTGTTGGGTTGTAAAACTGGATGATTGTCCAGTGTCTGGAGTGGTTCCTCTAAGCTTTCCACTGAAGGCAAGTCCAGTGGCTGGTGGGTCTAGGGAAGATCTATACTGAAGTAGGCAGCCACCGCCATTAGTATTCACATAGAGTCAAGATACTAAATATTTTTTTTTTCTTTTTGGGTCACACCCAGTGATACTCAGGGGTTACTCCTGGCTCTGCACTCAGGAATTACTCCTGGCATTACTCAGGGGACCAAATGGGATGCTGGGATTCAAACACCAGTCGACTGAGTGCAAGGCAAATGCCCTATCGACTATGCTATCACTCCAGCCCCATACTAAATAAGTGCTTATGAATTCTTTAAAAGGCTATGGCATTCTTAGCGCCTTTAGTAGCATTTCTTTGTACTGTAGTTTGAACTTCCAAAAGACTATTTTGTGGAAACTCATACTGGTACTGGAGGGCCCTGAATATTGTGTGTTTCCTTGTGTTTATTTCATTTTCTTAAAGTAGGCTAGAACATTTCTACTTTTTTCTAGCTTTAGTATGACAATGAAGAATTATTTGAAATATAATTTTTGTCAAAAAACCTAAACATGAGAGTTCACAAGCACTCTGAATCTGGATGTTTTCCCTGGGGAGAAAAATATTTCATCTTCTATTTATTCATATAATAAATCAAAATTGTACTGATGAGGCCATTGTGCTAAGAGAATCATGGTGTTTTTTCATCATATACAAATATGTGTAGAATATTTAGATGCTTTTGCCAGATGGAGGGGAAAAAATGCATTTGCCAGTGAAATACTCACATATTGAACAATGGAAGTTAAACAGTATAGTTTAATTCGAGGCATTTATATTATACGGGGGGGGGGGCACCAAACTTTCATTTTTAAATAACCAAATACAAAACCACCAACTTGGAAGTCAATCATACTGTTTGATACTGAAATATTCTAAAAATACTGCAAGAAGTCATGGGATGGAAATTATTATTTTTAAAAATAAGCAGAGGGGAAGATAATCTTATAATGCCTTTGGGATCTATTTCCCACATTTTTAATGTCCCAAAATGTAATGTAGCTCTCATTCCTTATAAAAACACTGGAGATAGTATTTCACTTTTTAAATTAATGAATGATTATAAAAATACCTTTTAAAATTTTATCTGTGCTTATTTAAAAGAGAACTATAAAAACTATATTCTTTGACATTTTTAATGACAAACTTTAGCAAATTAAAGTATTAAATGTATTAATGATTCACGGTCACTGAGTCTTACCTTATTTTGGAACTATATAGATTTTATATCTTCTGATCAAATTGACTTGAGTGAGCAAAACAAAGACCACTCTTTGTGTGTGTGTGTCTTGCATGTGTGTGGTGAGTGAATACTGGGGCTATACCTGGCTCTGCTCAAGGATTATTCTTGGCTCTGTGCTCAGGAATCACTCCTACAAGCAATAGGGGACCATGTATGGTGCCATGATCAAGCCAGGGATAGCCACATGCAAGACAAGTCCCTAAAGACCATATTTACTGGAAATAACTTCTAAATAGCTATGTAGAAGGCACATGGTATCATTGGTTTTATATTCCAAAGTATAATTTTTCTTTAAGATTGATACATACACATGGATGAACATGGAGGGTATCATGCTGAATGACATCAGTCAGAGTGAGAGGGACAAATAAGGAATGATTGCACTCCTTTGCAATTAATATACATATGTATACAATTAATACATAGCGATAGCACAGCAGGTAGGGCATTTGCCCTGCATGCGGCCGACCCAGGTTCAATTCCTCTGCCCATCTTGGAGAGCCCAGCAAGCTACCAAGAGTATTCCACCCGCACAGCAAAGCCCGGCAAGCTACCAGTGACGTATTCAATATGCCAAACACAATAACAACAAGTCTCACAATGGAGACGTTACTGGGCCTGCTTGAGCAAATTGATGAACAAGGGGAGGACAGTGCTACAGTGCTACAATTAATACATAGAGATAGCACAGCGGGTAGGGCATTTTCCTTGCATGCGGATGACCTGGGTTCGATTCCTCTTCCCATCTTGGAGAGCCTGCCAAGCTACCAAGAGTATCCTGCCCGCATGGCAAAGCCTGACAAGGTTCATGTGATGTATTCAATATGCCAAAAACAGTAACAACCAGTCTCACAGTGGAGACGCTACTGGGCCCTCATGAGCAAATCGATGAACAACAAGAGGCCAGTGCTACATATATATGTTGTTTATGTTGTCTTTGGGTATTATGTGTATATATAATGTATATAATGTACACATAATACCCAAAGACATCATAAACAAGGGCCAGGAAGACTGGTGCATGATAGAAAGCTTGCCACAGAGGGAGAGGAGGAGTGCAGAAATGCAGTTAGGACAGAGAAGGGTCTACTAGGACAACGATAGTTGGAAATGATCACTCTGTACAAGAAGTGAGTGCTGGAAGGAAGTAAAGTAATATGCATGATACCCTTTCAGTAACAGTTTTGCAAAACAGTGTCTAAAAGGAAAATAAGAGGCAGGGGTAGAGAGACAAAGAGAGACAAAATCAGAAGAAAAATGTCTGCCATAGCGGCTGGCTGGGGGGGGGGGGGGTGGAAGGGTACGTGGGAGGGAAACTGGGGACATTGGTGGCAGGAAATGCACGCTGATGAAAGGATGCATGTTGGAACATTGTATGACTGAGACTCTATCATGAACAACTTTTTAATTGTATATGCCATGGTGTTTCAATTTTTCAAAAAAATTTCTTAAAAGTTGAAACATACTTGAGATCCATGGAAAAACAATGTTTTTCAAATTGCCTCTGCTCGGATTATTAGCTCTAAGATACATTCAGTCACAAGGACTCTGAAGGGCACATTCCCACTCTCACATGCTGTGTGTCTGAAGCCACTAAGATTCTACTAGAGAAAGGAGCCCCCTACACCAGTTGCCACATTCACTGTCAACAAATTTGCCTGTGTTGGAGGTGAATAAATTCTCAAGCATTTGCAGTAAGAAGATGTTTAAAAGCTGTGATTTTCAAGTTCATAACCATCCATCACAAACATAACTCTTGCTGCTACGTCAAGCACACTGATTTTCTTGAGCAGGCACCAGTAAAGTCTCCATAGTGAGACTTGTTGTTACTGTTATTGGCATATCAAATATGCCAAGGGAAGCTCTCCAGGCTGTGCCATGTGGACGGGATACTCTCAGTAGCTTGCCAGGCTCTCTGAGAGGGACAGAGGAATCGAACTCGGGTCAGCTGTATGCAAGGCAAATGCCCTACCCACTGTGCTACTCCAAACTTCATTAAAATTGAAATTTATTAAAAAATTAATCATATTATTTATTAATAACAAGAGACCCTATTTAAAACCAATGACAAATACTATTTCCTCCACTGGCAAATAGGTTACCCATTTCAGTACCCTAGAACGGAGAGCGACCAATCAGAATGAGAACACCGAGGGCTGGAAAGAGAGTACAGGGAATCTGACACTTGTCTGCAGCACTACAAATGGTGTCTCAGCACTGTTAGGGTTCTCTCCTGAGCATAGGACCAGGAAAGCCCCTGACATCACCAGGAGTATTCAACCTCTCCCCAGACACCCAACCCCTACCGTAATATGAAGCTGGAGAAATAGTACAGAGGTAATGTGCTTCCCTTGCATGTGGCTGACTCTAGTTGGCTTTTGGACACCACATATATCATGCCTGGCACACCACTGGGAGTGGTGATCCCTGAGTGAAGAGCTGGTAGGAAGTCTTGAGAATATTTGGATTATGCCCCGCTCCTCTTCCATCCAAATAAATAAATAAATAAATAAATAAATAAATAAAACACAGCGCCTTCCAGTGTATGAAAGAATCAAGTGGTGAAAGCAGATACGAGAGCCCAGGTGACTGTTACGCAAACTTTGCTGCCAAAAGGCATTGGCAACTATGCTAAAAAGATCAAGGACAGTGGCTTTTATTCTTGGACATTACTCGGTAACTAAGGACTTTTGAGGAAATTCTTCCTTTTTGCCTTCAATACTGGAAGTAAAATTGAAACAAAGTTGCACAGAAATGCTATTTCATGTTATCTATTGTATAATATATTGTCCCCTACTGCTCTCTTCTTTGTTATTTTGTGAATATGGGGGAGGTGAAGTTACACACCTGCTTGGCGGTGGCGTTGGTATATTTTGTGGTGGTGTTCTCTAGGGATTGCCCATCTGGT